AAAGTATCGTGTGACCAGACAAGCAAATTTTTTTAACCCCTACAGTGTTCTTGGGCAGCCATTTCAAGCACTGGATCAGTTATCAGTCAAAATAAATCCCCCCTGAAAGTGCAGGGTGTCGACCTGAGATCCACCCAGGCTCTCTGCACCCCTGGGTGCAGGTGTTTTCATGCTCAAAGTTTGATTTGCCCTTGGTTACTCCCCAGCCTCACACCTCCACATCTTGTGAATCCATCCACCTTGCCCTGCATCAGTTCATGTCAGGCAGTGCTTCCCACCACTGCCAAACCTCCAGGGAACCTCCTTTTCACCTTGCCTTCTGCACAGACACCCCCTTCCCCCCAGATCACCTTCCCAAGGATTAGTAAGGAGTTGATAGCAGCCTCAGTATGAGAAGTGCCCTCTCCCAACATAGCTTCTTCTTTTTCTGGTGAGATGACCATTGCTTCACATCCTTTTTGTCAGTGGCCTCAAGCAGCTGGAGTCCAGTAAAATTTGTAAAAGCCATCAAAATTGTGTGGGTGTAGGCCAAAAGGGTCAGAGCTGGTGTAAGTAATACCCCTGGATCTGGTTGTGACTACACATAGGCTTTGGGTCTGACTGCATTTAGAGAAAACAATCATCCCTGCTACACAACATAGGCTGGATGTCCATGGGGATGACCCAGGAATTGTCAGCAGGATCAGAATTCATGAAAACTGATCAAAGTGCTTGTAACACTGATTCTCGTGAAAACATTTCAAATGCCAGAGGACCATTACAGCACCTCCAATTAGAAGAGGCTCACACAACTGCTCCAAAGCTGTGGAAAGGAGGCAGGGTTTTCCTCTGTCTGCTGCAGAGACACAAACACGTGGATCATCAGGTGTCTCCATGACCAGAGTTAGTTAGGATCACAAAGAGCATATTTAACACCTAACACAAGCACAGCTTGGGCCACAGGAAAGTGAAGAGCCTTGTGTTCATTCAGAAAACTGTAGACTGGGGGGACTTTGTTCAGGGGCTGTGTTATAAACTTGTCCCCATGGTGCAACTCTAAGTCACTGTGGCTCTTAAAAATAACCCTAAACACATTTCTACTGACTTACAGACTCCCAAGCCTTTCACCCTGGGAACAGTCCTAATTTCACAATATCATTCTTTTATTACATCTATCAGATTACAATACATGCTTTCAGTGCTCCTTCTCCTTTTTTTCCCTCTTTGATTGGTTGGATGGCTGGTTGGTTTTACAACTGAATTTAACCCTGTGCAGCAGCAATACCTTGTCTGGATGCTTTTTCATGTAAATCACAGGAAAATGAGACATCACTCATTGCGATAGACAGTTGATAGATAATTATTACTCGAGTGCTTATGCAAAACCCAGCCTTGGAACCCAGTCATGGCTTCTTTTGTACATCATACAGAACCAGTCTGCATTTCCAAGCAGGATCAGAGAAAACAAAACAGCCCCCAGCACCACAAAAGGAGCATTCTTACCTGTAAATTTATGTGTTGCTTTTTGTCAGCTTTGCACTAAAATGCAGCTCCATTCAAAACTCAGACTCTGTTGGAGAGGCAGCAGCTTGCAACAGGTTCCTACAGGGTTCTGAAGGCACCTCCAGTGAGAAACAGAACAGTGGGCATTGGGAAGACATCCATAAATCTGGAAAAATGCCACTGGATTTCAGATGTAAATCTCAGTGTAAGCCATACCAGGCTTCCTTTAACTCTCCAGCCATCTAAAGCAGCTACACATTAAAACTGGTGCTGGACTGATCACTCAAAATTAATTTAGCCAGAACATTAATGAGCAGCAGAAGTTTCTTCTGTTGCTTGTGTGAAACCTGCTTGACTTTGCTTCTATTACAACTTCTACAAACAATGCTAGCACACAGCTTTTCACAGAAGCTTTTAAAACCTGAAATGTGAGCAGTGTAGATCATACTGCAGAGCTGTGATCAGAGATTGAGACAAGAGGAACACCAGCCTGCTTGGCCTAGGGCACTGGCGTGGGCTGACCCTGTCTGGCAGCTCAGCCCCTACTCCTCCCTCCCTCCCTCCCTGCCCAACAGGATAGGAGAAAGAACCTGAAGGGCAAAAGTGAGAGAAACTTGTGAGTCAAGATAAAGACAGTCATGAAGGAAAATGAAATTAAACAACCCCAAAACCAACCAAGTGATGCAAAGGCAGTCACCACTTGCAGCCTGACGCCCACACAGGTCAAGACCTCCTGTGGCAGAACAGTTTTACCTCTCAGTGTCACATCATGGTATCAGATGTGTCCTTGGTCAGTCTGGGGGAGCTGTCCCAGCTGTGCCCCCTCCCAGTCCTCTCCCCCAGCCCCAGCCTGCTCACAGGGCAGCAGAGTGAGAGATGAAGAAGGCCATGGCACTGTGCAGGCACAGCAATAACTAAAACACTGGTGTGTATTATCAACACTGTTTCGGTCACCAGTGTAAACCACAGGACCTTACAGGCTGTTATGAAGAAAATGAACTCCATCTGAACCAGACACTGTACAGGCAGATAAAAAGGGTCCATGGAGGCTGCCAGCCCAGTACTGCTGGTGTTGCATGCAACAAAAACTAATCCTTGGGCTTTTTCTCACTTCAAAACACTCAGTCTTCATTAAAAGTTGGGGAAACTGTGGCAGGGAAATGAAGAAAGCTATCACAAGCCACTCCTAGAAGCAGAAGGGATTAGCACTCAGGGCTTGTCTTGAACCACCACCAGTTCTCCAGTCTTCATCCACCAGCCCCATTTTGCTGCTGCATTACTGGATTAATTACTGGACTAATTTGAAACAAAGATGTCTGAATTCAGTTTCCACCTCTTTACCACTAAGTCTCCACCTTGTCATGTTGTAACCTGAAGTTCTGTGCACAGATGATTTGTGGTGTTGTTACCTTATGGTACTGCACTGGTACAGAAAGATGACCACAAGACACCCAGAAATCACATAAGCAGCAACATAAGGACTGCAAGACGTCCCCAGCCCAACTAAAACCAGTCAGATTTTTTCTCATTGGAACATGGATCTCCTTCAAGAGGGAGGGTAAGTGCTTTTTTTTTTACTTCTTCTGAAGTGTTTTGGTGTTGTGTTTTTTTTTTTTTTGGATAGCCTTAGTGGGCTCTTTAAAAGCCAGTTCTAGCCTTGAGTTTCCTGCTCTGAATCTAATTTTCAAGGCACCTGGAGATCATAAAGGCTGTCACAAAGCTCAACAGCCAGGATTAGAATCATATTTTCTACTTTATCTTATGTTCTTTCAAGTCAGTGCAAAATGTTACCAAAAAGCATTACAACCAAATGATGCTGGGGCTTAAGAAGCATTGGCATGGGAGCCCATCTAAATCCCAATCAGTCACATTGTACCTGTTCACAGCATGATAATAATTTGTCTAGGCATTGAAAAAACACAAAGCAAGAAAAGTTCATCTGTTTTCAGTGTATTTTAATAAATGAAACAAACCTGAAGGTACGAGTTGGATTTCAGCAGCAAGTTAACCTTTTCCTTGACATGATGCGAGGTCTCTCTGCAGGGGTGTTAAGCAGATTTGCTAAATGCCATACTGGGGCTAACTCTGGAGATTGCCAGACCATTGCCAGCTTTATATAAAGCTCCCCAGGAGTCAGGCTGATACTTTCAGGCTTCTCTGAAAACACTGCTGATCCATAGGGATAATCTCATTTCCTGGACCATGAAATAAGCTGGAGCCTAAGGGTTACAGCTGATGGCTGTGTGAGACAAAATCACCGGCTTGACAAGTGCTGCTGTTCCCCAGGTCTGTGAGGTATGTGCTGGCTTTTGGGCCTGCAAGAGACTTAGCTGAAGTTGGTTGCTGCTCTCTGGTAAGGGACACCATGCCTGATGCTCCCCTCTCCACTTCCTGCCCCCCACTGTCCCCAGACACGTTCACAGTGATCGCTAAGCACATGCTTTGGAACAGAGGGGCTTGCTCTAGCATTTGTGTTTCCCAAAAGACAAGAGAGCTGCAAAGCTGGTCAAACAATTCCTTCTTAGAACACATCCCTGCAGGTCCCATGGGTCCATGTGCCTAAGCACACACACATATGTACTGAGGTAGCTGTTTCTGCTAAGGCAAAGAGCAGTTTAGAGAGCTTTGGCTGTCAGGAGAACAGAGATTTTCAGCTTTGGTTTGGTTTGTTTGGAAAACAGTAAAGCTAGATAGGCCTGAGGTCCTGCCCAAAGTGTACCTGCCAGGTGCTGACCTTCAAAACCCATGCCAAGTTGTTCAGCAATTTAAATTTTCGGAATCCAATCGCCAGCTGCTGGGCAGTCCCAGGCTGCAGGCACAGTACAGGTGTGAACCTGTTAAGCTTCAAGCTCTTGGGAGCTGCTTTCCCTTGTAAACACTAGACAGGGAATTACTACCCCTTGCCGGTCATCACCGTTGTGAAAAGTAGATGTGGATGTCCCTGTTCAATTAAAAACAAGCCCAAGGTCACCGCCCTCCTTTGTGAAATGGGTCCATTCCATTTGAAGTGCTCCCCTTTGTTTCCTGCAGAGTGGTGGCACAGAAACAACGCCACCTCCCACCATGAAATGACAGCTCTCCAGCCCTTTTGTAACAGAAGCCCTTGAGGCTGGCACCAAGGGAGCCTGATGAGGTCAGTAATCACTGCAGCACATGAAAAGCATTTTGCACCGTGACCTTTTGCACATAAAGAGCTATACTGGTTCTGCTTCTAAAGCCGGGAAGATTTATACACATGGCTTTCTCCCGGCACTGAGGGAGGAGAAACTGAGGCAGTAAAATCCTGAAAGCCAGCAATTTATTCAAGAAGGGATGCTGAGAGCACTTGAAGACTTAAAGCTTATGGTATTTTACCTGCAGTTTGCAGCACAGGAAACAAAGGATAGGATTTTCACTGAATCCTAGCATTTTTAGACAGAAACGGTGTATTTTTTTTCCAAGTCACATTGACAGTCCTGTGAATGTTCTCTTTGACAGTCTTTACTACAGGAGAGCTGTGTGCACAGCTCCTGGTGATGCACAGCCTGTTACCTGGGGCAGTAGTGACAGCTGCCCTGAAAGACAGGCTGGACCTTCCAGTCTTCTAGTCCTATGACCCCTCCTGAGGTTGTCTGTCCTACTCTCCTCAGGCAGTCACCTCACTCCCACACAGTGGCAGCACCTGATACGATCTCTGGTAAAAGACTTATCTCCAAAAGCTGAGGAAATAATTTTTGCCTGGTCTGACTATGCCAAGTGACTTTGAGAGAGAGTTACATCGTGGCCCAGGCTGCCCTGCTCGCAGGTATGAATGGGGAATCCCAAACCTTTCCTTCAGTACATTGTGGGCTACAAGGTAACTGGGAAACAAACACAGGTAATAACCCTTTTCCTTTCTTGGAGCAGTCTCTAATTTAATTAAAAATTAAACCTTCACCATTCCATCAGTAGCAGCACTTTATGGGAGTCCCTTCATCTGTAGTTTGGAAATTGGGAAACAGAAATATGACACAATTACCTTCAATTACCAAAAATATTACTTTTATGGAAGAAAAGTGAAAATATTTAAATTAGTCCAGATCTGAAGCAGAGAAGTGAGAGACCCATAGCAGAATTTTAGGGGAGTTTTCAGCAACCCACGGCCTTCAGAGAGGAGAAATAATCACGTTACTGCCTTTCCTCACAGCTTGAGAGAAATTTATATCCTTTAATCTCACGCAGTGAATCCTCTGTTTGCTTGGGCTTTGGAGATGCAACAAGCACCGTGTGCAGTTAGCGCAGAGTAGGATTCCCCCATCACTCGCCGTTCTGATCCACAGCCATCAAGGATTGCTCTGCCTCTGTATACACAACACGGACATGGATCACGTACCAATTCAAATGTGCAACACAGCTCCACCCACGCTGTCTGCAGAAGACAGAAACATCCACAGCAAAGTGCAAAAATAGTTCAGTGTCTTCCACTTGATCTCCGGCGATGTTTCTGAGCATCCCTTGGTGCATCCCACCTTGTGCACCCACCTCGACCCCCAAGAACTACTGAGATGCTTGTTTTGCTCAGCCCAAGTCTCCTTTAGGCATTGAAGGCTCTTCTACCCGTGTTTCCAGGGAGATTAACCAATGCTGTGCATGCTGAAGTTCTGTACAGCCCATTGCAGGAGCCCAGGTGCCCCTCTAAAACATTTCAAACTTGTTTTTCTGCCATCCCTCCTCCTTGATCATCACCAGGCCAACACCAGCTGCGTGCCTGGCGGTCAACACCCGCTGCTTCACCTGGAGTGCCGTGTCCCATTTTTATTGGAATGATTCTCCTCCTGTCCCACAAAGCACAGGGACCCCCAATGGTTTGGATTTGAACCCCATCTGGTGCATCTCAGCCGTCCCTTCCGTGCACATCCCGCAGCAGGTCAAGACATGACCATGTCCCAGCGCTGGCTCATGGCTGTGCTCTCACAGGGGTTGATGACGAGCTCTTTAATGCTCTCGTTCGTGTCCCCGATGGTCTCCGTGTCCAAGCAGAAGCGTGAAGCTATGTGTTCAATGTGTGACCCGACCTTGCCCCAGCGCTGAGGGGAGACACACGACAGAACAAACGGGTGAGCAAGCTTCCTCCCCACCATGCTTTTACTGCACTGTTCCAGCATCCAGAGGACAGCTGTCATCAAGCCCTTGTGGGCTGATGCTGTCAAGAACAAGGTCCCCCAAACCCACACCAAGCGGAGGACACGCTGAGCATTTTTCCCCATCAGAAACACACTTATTTAATTTGGCCTCTGCCTGGCTTCAGGAAGATAATATATTACTAACAGCTTTTTCCCCAGGTCACTGGTTCAAATGCCAGCTCAGTGATTAACTGCAGGGAAATGTTAGCATCTGCTGCCTGACTGGCAGCCCATGTGAACTAAATTGCCAGTTTGGGTTTGACTTCTGCATTGAAGTATCCAGATCACCACCCTCACTAATAGACATCCTTATCAACACACTCATTTAAGAGGCAAAGGGCTGAACAGGCCAGAGTCTGTACTCCCAAATTGACTGTGCTACCCAGATGAAGTCAGAGCACAGGCCATTTAATGTGCAATAATACTGTGATGAAAGAAACGGAACTTCAAAGAAAATCTGGGATCAGTGAAAAGGGCTCACCTGCTTATTGTCACCTTCTTTACAAGGTGACAGCAGCACCTGGGAACCAGGGAAGAGGGTGTACACAGACAAACACAGCTGCTGCTGGCGGACATGGTGGTTGTATGTGTACGTCCATTCCTGCACAGAGGAAGAAAAAGAAAGGTGGTGAGAGAGCAGTGTTGATTCTTGCTATTCTTTTACCTGGAAAACAAACACTTTGGCTTGGATCCTGCCCCTTACAAAATCAAGCACAAACCTCAATGACTTCAAGAGGCATCAGGAGAAGTCACTGGGATGTTTCAAGCCTCCCCAAAACTGCAGTTGTCATTGAGGGACTTCAGGTACCAAAGAAAATGTCTACAAAAGCTGCAGGAAGAACATGTTTCATGAGACAAAAGATTCCATAGCCAGAACTGGCCTGTGCTTGGAGAACAAAAGGATGGGAATAAAGCAGAAGAGAGGCAGGAACACTAATAACCGCACAATGTGCAATTCTATTTTTTCAGGAAGAGCAGCAGAGATGCTTTGCAGCTGTCAGTGGGGGACATGAGGTGATACATGGCAAATGTCTGCAACTCCTGGGGTTCTGTTCTGAAGTATCACAAAAATAAGAGGTAAAGCTCTGCTTTCTATCAAGGCAGTGGGACCAGATTTCAAAGGTTTGCTGTACTGGTTTGCTGTAACCATTGCTACTCCCACTGGGATGTCTAGGAGGTTTTTTTCTTTCGCTGCTCCTATATGTTCACCAGCTTTTTATCAGCCTCTCAGCCCCAGAAATAAACTTTGGGGGAGCAGAGACTTTTTGTCATGTAATGATTACCAAACTATAGGAGATCTCTGGGATTACCATCTTTTTCACCAATGGATGTTTTTGGGAGAAAGAGGAGCAGCTGACAGTTTGATGAGGATCTCATGTTAAATGTGCTGGACAAAGCACAGACACACTGCTTAGCCCAAGAGCGTTTTACAGAAGTTTACTCCAGCATTAATTCCAGCTGAACATTTTCTATCACCTACCTGTGCTCATATTACCCAAGAGCACCTCCTGAGAGGATCCCAGCCAAGGGATATCTGTCTCCCTGTTACTCGTGTGTGTGCACAGACAAGAGCTGGTTTGGCTGATGGAAAACCACAAACCACACTTTACATAACCCTGGAGAGGGTCTTCTGGAACAGGTGTTTTGCTTGTAGCTTTATGTGAGCATCAACTTTGAAATTAGAAAGAGCGGGGCTGGAAGAGTCTTCTGAGGGATCCCAGCCAGGGTGCAAAGCAGGATCCACTCCTGCTGTGTGAATGGCTCTGAGCAGCAGCAGTGGGAGCAGATGGAAAACAGGTCTTTGAGCCCTGTCAGGGCAGGTGAGCAGGGCTGGAGGACCAACAGCAGCCTGGCTTCACTATCAGAGTGCAATAACCCTGCCAGACACAGCAAGGCCAGGGAGCTAAGGAGTTCCCACAAGAGACCCCAGGAGCCACGGCAGATGCTTTGACAGGGTACAGGCTACGAAAACTCTGAACCTGCTGTAAAAGAAAAGGTGCAAAGAGGAAGCAGAACAGTTGGGAGCTCAGCTATGGAGGAGTCAGAGCTCTGTGACAAGTGATGTGAGCAGCAGTGTTGGCAGTGGGGGGAAAGGCGGTGCTCAAACATATGGCTGTGAGGCTGGGACTGGAAAAATGGGGCTCCTGGGAGACTTCAACCCTTTCTGAGTGCTGGAGGGGAATATGAAGAATGGCTGCCCTGCTCTCAGAGCTGGGATGCCTGCAGCTCGCCTGACTTTGAATGGTGGAGGTTTTGGGTTGCATTAGCATGAGTTATTAGAGCAGGGAAATGCTCCCAGTCCTTTGGTATTTGTCACTGTCAGCAGCTCTAACTTCTCTCCTCAACTTCAAAACAGACAGCTATAGGCATTTAACTCCTGGGAATACAAATCCCACTTTCATTCAGGTTCTTAGCCACCTGGAAGGGAAAACACGCTTTTGCACAGCAGACCCAGCACCACAAGGACTTCACACTGATCCTCATACTCTGTGCTTCTCAGCTCTCTATTCCCCACCAGCTCATGGAAATCAAACCTGGCTTTCTGAACAGCCTGCCCACAGGCTCCTCAGCAAGAGCTGCCCAGGATCTGGGTACATAACAAGCATTCATTTCCAAAGCCATAATCCACACACCCAAAGGGCCTTCTGGCAACTACTTTTGTCATATGAGCAGGGTTTACCTGATCCTACAGTGAACACGTTCCAGACATCCCAACCATGCACGCTGTCAGCTGCTGTGTAAACCACCAGCCTGGGAAATCAGGTGCCAAATTAGTCCAGCATCTGTGAAGAACCAAACCCTACGGGGCAAGCTTCAACATCTGTTCTTGGCACCCACGCTGCGACAAGCTGCTTTGAAAACCTGCTTTACATTTTTAACCAATTGTTTGTCATTTTAGTTCAGGATAGGGCTGAAGCTGCACCCATGAGACTCCTCAGCAGCAGCCAGTTAATCCTGTAACTTGTGTATACGTTGAATTGTCCAACTAACTCAGGCCATGGGACTTTTTTGTTTGTTTGTTTGGACATCTTAACCTTCTTGCTTCACTGAGATTATCTCATGGAAGACTGCTCCTACCAGAGGTTCTCCATGATTTTTTTTACAGACCGGGCTATGTTCAAACCTTCACAATATTCACATCCTCTCATCAAGGCAGGGCCATCCTCTCATCCTCAGTGGACCACGGGATAGGAAGGGTGGTAGCAACCATTTTCCCTAAGCTGCTGTTCATCATAAGAAGTGAGGGCTCCAGAGCTGGATGTCTGCATCAGTTCCACAGCTGACACTGGATCCTACCCTCCTGCCCCCAGGCTGTCCTTCCACTGCCTTTATCTCAGCTGACAGATTTTCACACAGCTCATCTATCTCGGCAGAATGGCTTTTTATGGAAGCCAGTCCTGTTGAAAATGTTTTATCCAGCTCTAATCATGTCTTCTTCCCTTTCAGCCCTAGATGAAAGCCGAAGAAAATTATGCAGAAAATGAAGAAATTTGAAGGGGGAGGAGGAGGGAAGTCAGTTGAACACCACAGAATCCATGAAGGACTTTGAGTTAAAATACATGCCCATAGCCACACAAATTTTTACCTTACCCCTTCTCTTCTCTTATTTTTATGAGCTGGGATTAATTTATTTTTTTTTCCCATGAGGAACTACTTTATCTCCTAAACCCTGACACACTGACATGGCCAGCACAGCAATAACAGCAGCAGAGCTTTGCACCACAGAGGCTGTGGTGGATGGAGCAGCCCATGGTACTCCTAAGGAGCCCTGCAAGGAGCTAGCATGGCTTCAGGGCTGCAGATTTGCCTGAGAAGATGCCATCAGGTTTAGAGCTGACCCAGAACCAAAGAAAAACGGATATATGAGGTAAAACTGGCATCAAGATTTCTTGTCTTTTTGAAGGCAAAGGTGGAGGGGTGGTGGAGCCAGGAAGAAGAAGGTGGGCTTGGAGAAGAGAGCTACCAGCGGCACAGCACAACCAGCAACCCCCTTCTTTCAAAGCCTCAGGTAACACCAACCCCCTCATCTGAGACTTTGTGACTGTTTCTCAAGGCTTTAGCATCATCTGAGCCGGCACCTGTCACTGTTACTCAGCATTACTGTGAACTGAGGAAATTATTCTCAAGAGTGACCTTTGGCTTGGCATAGCCTGGCTCGCAGATGGAGCAAGGAGCCCCTCAGCCCAGGAAGGAGCAGTCCCATGGAGCCCAGCGTTCCGTGACAGCGAGGCCTCTGCTGCCGAGCAAGAGGTCAGCCGTACCCTAAAGCAGGGGCAGTAGCTAGAGAGAAGTGTTTCTCAAGAAGGTGGAACAATCTAATTATCCAATTATCTTCTTAAAATCTCAGGGAAGGACTTCCCAAGGCATGCAACTACGTGAGTGACCTAAGGACACCAAGGTGCTGCCCTCATCAAAGACCCTGGGATACAACTGGCACTTCCACACATCTCAGGAGAGGGAAAACCAAGCACACGAGGTGCCCAGGACAGCCTGGATGCAGAGATGACACTACTGCTCACTCAGCCTGGCTCCCACAACTCCAGCCAGCCTACAGCTGGGGCAGGTCATGGCCATGGAGGAGAAGAACGAAGGCTTTTGAGGGGAGGAAGGTGAGAAGAGAGTGTTTATGGCTGAGATGTCTCAGGAGAGTCACTTAATTTGGATAGATGCTAAATGGTCTCCCAAAAAAGTGAAGATCTAGTCAGCACACAGAGGACCTCAAGCCAATGGGGATGAGCATCCAAGCCATGCCAGGAAGATCATCACACTGCCTTTCCTTCCCAAGAAGAGTCTAAGTCATGCCACTCAAATGCAATGGCAGCCACTCAGCTGCAAAGCCCAGGTATTTCGGGGTGCAGACCCAGGAAATGGATACCACAGCCTTCTCCCTGTTTCCTCACTTGTCTAAAAAGATGCCTGAGCTTTACATTCCTCTTGCAGCAACTGCTTACACATGTGTTATATCCAGGTCAAAGCATCTTCAGATTTTTTTATCTGAAGTATGTCAGGTTTCCTGAAGCTGCTAATGACTTAAATAAATCCCAGTCAGATGTCTTTTCCAAACTCTATGAACTAATACCAACTGACACTTGGTTTGAAAAAAGAAACCAAACTACTCACATCTTCATTAGACAGATGAGGACAAAATTACGATCAATTATTTTCCCTCAGATGCATTTCTTTCATGAAAAACTAAATCAATCTGTTCACTTAGCAAATGAGACTCAACAAGGCATGGAGTGCCAAGTCTCCAGTGGACAGGAGCACAGGCAGAGCCTGCTGTGCCCTGGGGATGGGCACTGCACAAACATCTCTGTCTGTCACTGTCTCAGGAGCCCCCAGACAGCAACCCTGGGGTCCTCAACCACCTCAAGATCCCTCTGAGAGCCACCTCAAGGGACAGAGCCCACCCTGACTGCTGCCAGGCCTTCTGGAAGGGAAAGGGCCAAGTGGATTCCCAGAATGAGAAGACAGAGCTCTCTTACACAAAGATGAGGGGTCTTCTTGTGCCTCAGTGCCCCTTTCAGTAATTCAGGACCAACACCAGACACCATCAGGGAGGTTTTCTGAGACCTGTTAAAGGTGTAGGTCTGATTTCACCACTGAGTACCCTCAGTTTACCCAAACTATGGATGTAGCCAAAGGTCTCACAACACCCTTTCCCTACAGGTAGAAAAACCTAAAATAAAGAGCAATTGATTGCCATCTGACAGCTCCTGCACCTCTCTCCTCAAACCATGACAGCTCAGATCTTCTCACACCCAGTCCCAAGACTTCATGCATGTAATGCTGGTAAAGGGCTGGGGCAGCCCAGCAGGGAGACAGCTACAGAAAGGCAATCAAAGCAACCAAATTACTGCTACTATAATAGTGATAATAAATAATTTGGGCAGACAGGATATTTCCACGGTACTTACTGAATGCCAAGAAAGCACAGCTTTGATTAAGCTAGGCCTGTTTTTCACAAAACAAAGCTTAGGGTAAACAAGACGTGACTCCAGTATGTTAAAAGTGAAGATTATTGCTCTATTCTGGTATATCAAATGCAAACCAAGGACTGCACATAATCAATTCTACACAGTCTGGTGACTGTAACACCCATGTCATCCACAAGTTCAGGTGATCTTGTGGCAATTGAATCATTAAAATTTAAGTTTCTATTCACAGTAAAAGTTTAAATCCCCTGCTTTAATCTGAACTATTCTCCATGGGTACGAGTAACAAAGAACTATCCTAGAAAGACAGAGAAAGATAAAAAGGAAAGGCTTTTCTCTACTCCTGCTGTGTACTGAGTGCATCCATTCTGCAATCTGTTTGTAATGCATTTTTCTGTTCCTTTACAGAGTTAGTCTTGGATGTGCACAAGAAATGGAGCTGCCATCCAGTGGGAAGTGTTGACCTATTGCAAACTGCTGCAGAACCAGAACAGGAAGATGAAAAGTTTGTGGTGTGAAAAATTCCAAAAATTTACTGCACAGAAATGTCAAAACAAAATGTGTTTGGTGGGAATGAAACGGTCCAACTTGTTGGCATGACATTTCTCATTTTAAAATACCACATCAAATTGGTATTTCAGAAACACCAATACCATTTCATTTTGAAACACTAACTTGCAGCAGCATTTTTCATTCTGATTTTCCCAGACTTTTTTTAAAAACAGACAATTCATTGGAAGTTGCTATTGTCATTAGAACACTTTTCCTTTCTTCTGAAGAGCTAGCCCTGAAAAACATGATGACCTGCTCTCATCAGCTTGCTTTCTTTGCTGTTTGTGTGAAAAGTCCATATAGCAGTGGAAGAAAGAAAAACAATTCTGGAACATGGAAACCAGTGAAACCTTAAAAAGTGTTACTGTGTGGCACTTGCAATTATATTAACTACATTTTCTGAAATGACTAATATTCAAGTAGTCATTGTTGATTTTGCCATGCTGTGAAACAGATATTAATTTCCTGCCTACAGACAGGCACACAACTGCATTTGAAAGAGATGCACATAATGACATGCTTTGTTTGCACACACAAATCACAGATATTTTAAGCAGTCTGCCCAAGCTGGGCCTTTTATATGCACAGCTACCTGGTTTGAATGTGTAACCATGAGGGTTAAGGATGTGCAGTGAGTGGAAGTAAGCACACCACACCATTTCCTACTGAATTATTTCATGGCAACCACAGAAAAGCAAGGGATTGTTATCCTCCCTGTTTTCTAGATGGGAACACAGAACTTACTGACATGCCCCAAAATCACAAAAGGAGCCTGAAGCAAAGGTGAGTTTTGAAGCTGTGTGTATCTTCAGGGTCTTGCTCCAGAAACTCTGCTGCAAGGCACATGTGCGTGCTCTTGGCTCTAACATCTCCTAGGCTGCGCTTTTGAGAACATCAATTCATACAGCTTTTCCTCATCTCAACAGGACTGAAAAAACTGAGATCATCCTCATTAAATTCTCACTAGTTTAATGGGCAATCCAATACTGAGAGAATGCAGACTATGAAGTTACAAATGCCACTGTGACTCAGTCCATTTTGAGATCAAAAAGGCTAAGAGATGAGAGGGAGTTATAATTCTCTTTGCCTTTGATCTGTGCAGATGAGCAGCACGTGGTGTTCCCGGGCAGCTGGAAGAGCTCAGCATAGGTTCCCACACAGATGAGTGGGACACACTGTCCTGTGGCTCCTGCACCAATCCCTGCTGCTGCCCAGGGCCTCCACCAGGGTCAGGTGGAGCTGCCAGGGTTTAACGACATGCTGCCTAATGAAAGACACTGGTAGAATGGCTAAATCCTCCGACAGAGCTTTAGCAACCTTAAGAAATCATCTTGAAGCTGCCCCCATGGCTTCTTCCCATCCAGCATCATGGGGATACACAACACATCTTACCTGTGCCTTTGGTACTGCGCCCTTGCTGCTGTTACAAGGATTTAAGCTCAGGATGGGGAGCTCTTGGTCTTCAGACTTGTGTGATTCCAGGCAGCTCTGCCTTTGCCTGATTATCCCAGTCTGATAGAGCGACTCCTCGGGAATCCTGTGGGAACAGCGTGAAAACAACATCGTACTGCCCCATGCACAGGGAGGCTCAGTGGGGTAAAGGTTGCACCTTTCCACCTTCAGAAAAGTTGGGGTGGCAAGATCTACCACAATACTGGAGCACTGAGAGCAGCACGTGGACAAGGATGCTGCAGAAGCAGAGCTCAGAGATGGATGGCTGACCTTTATAAGGGGAAAAAATAAATAACTGCACAAGGCAAACAGAGGAACCAGGAGTAGGCTGTGAGCAGGCTGAAGGTCAGCCTTCAGCTTACAGGAGAGGGGAACTTTATAACAAACTGTCACAGAGCCCTGGCATTGCCCGTGAATGCTGTGCAATGCCACATATGGAAAAAAAAAAAAAAAAAAAAAAAAAAGGTAAGAAAATGGCTATAAATCATCATTTTCACACAGTGATTCTGCACTCAGCTATTGCACCAGCAGGTCCCTGAAGGTATCTCTAGAACTTTACCATCCTTTCTGAGGATGGCTCCTGATAGGGACCAGGGGAATGAATGCAATGGTTTCTGGAGTAAATTGGTAACTAAAAGATATCTGTGCAAAAGCAATAATATTTAGCAAAGCACTGGGCTAGAGGCCAGGCAGAACGATCTGAATACAGGTCATAAAATCCTAGAATGAATGGTTTCACAGCAGAGAAGCTTTGAGTGCCACAGTAGTGTGAAAGGACTGGAAATTGGGTGCTTGTTTAGTAAGCAGGAATCATTAAGTACCGAAACACCCTGGCAGAGGCTATGGCGGATTTTCTGCCTTGGGATATTTTTTTAAGGAAAACTCTCTTATTTCCCTACACAACCTGTTCCACAGCATGGGCAGGAGGACACCTAATGAACTCCCCAAAGCAAATGGGAGTAACTGGTGCTTTGTCCCTCACCAGCCCTGAAGCAAAGAGCTTAGAGGAAGCAGATATCATAGAACATCCCGAGCTAGAAGGGACCTCCAAGGATCTCCAAAGCCCTGCAGTTTGTCACACTGTGAGCAAGCTGCGTTTAAAGCCAGCACAAAATTCACTCTGCCCTTCTCTGAAGGCCGAGGGAGGGAGTGCCTACGTCTCTGGGGCATAAGAAAGCTCAGTGGGGTAGGAGGGAGGGATGGAGCATCCCACTGGCCTGCTGGATGCAGGTGGAGATTGCAGATCCGTACCGAAGTTCGGGATAAACGTTCTCCAGGTACCACTTGAAGCTGTGACATTTCAACTTCTTCCGCAGCTCCACTCTGCTCTGGATGCTGTGGGAAGAAAATATCACAGAGATGCAATGGAAATGATGCAGGTGAGACCCCACACACCAAAAAGGGAGGCCAAGAGAAACCAATCAGAAATGCAAAGACAGCAAACACAAGAACATCAGCAGCTCTGGTTTCTCTCTGAATGAGCTTGAGTGATTGTTTTGATCTCTGTCTCTTTGGAGGTCTCACTTGGTAAAATGGCACGGTGACATACTGTCATTTTAACATGGAGTCTGGAGCTGAAAAGGTTAATGGAAGAGCACAGTAATTTAAAAGTGATTAGTAAAAAATATGTGCTGTCTACTATGTAATAATTCTTACCTGAATATATTAACATATTAGGAAATTAAAATATTCTACTTGCTATACTAAGTTACTTTTGGTTTACAGGACTACAGGAGGCCTTGATTTGCAAGAGCACCTGAACATGCTGGTAAGCCAGCAGAAGTTAATCACACTGTGAAATACTTTTCTCTTTTATTAATCAGGACAAAATTTCTACTGAGGGATTGTGCTGTACAGTGACATTTTCAAAACTCCAGCTCCTCCCTGGGCCAGCCTCCACCTGTGGTGCTGTTATGAGCTGGCTTTTATGGAATAGTCAGAGGCCTCCAGTACCTCCTTTTCACACAGGTCAACTTCTCTATACCCTACTACACTAAAAGCAGAGGACAGAGTTGCTATTTCATTCTCTGCTGATGGATGGATGGGAGGAGGATATTAATTCAGTGGTGATAGGGGGGATCACCAGGACTTTATTTATCCTGGAGACTGAAGAGTGGTCACAAGGAATTCAAGTTTGGACTCAGAACCTCCGGGAGTCTGAAGAAAACTTTCTAAGGCTAAGAGGAGCATGTGAAAACGAGAAATACAACAGAAATATCTACAGTCCTCCTGACAGGGAGGCATTTCTGACTCCTCATAGAATGAATGAAGAACTCCCTGCACACAAACACTTGCTCCCTTGCAATAAAGCATCAGCAGGCCAAAACTTCAGTGATTTTCCTGCCTGTCAGTTGCCACCAACACCTCTGGACTCTCCCTGCCAAATTCCAGCCTGGGACCAAAAGTAGTTCTATGTAACACCAAGGACAGGACAGAGGCAGAGCCCCGTCCTGGGTTTGGTTCACTCACTGGAATAAACCAGCACAGCATTTAAACTGGCTGTTTATCCACGTCACTGCTGTAGCACGTGCCTATCATTAGTATTTTATTGTCCCTACAGAAACAATGCAGGCAGGTTTCCACAGCAGGGGACGTCTCTGTGAGCACCCACTGCAGCAGGCAGGGCACAGGCAGCAGGGGAAGAATCCTTACTTCCCAAAAGGCCTCCCCTGGGCTGCGGGCCGGGCGGCGTAGTAGTACTGCTTGAACTCGTCCATCCACACCTCGGCCGTGCGCTTGGTGTTCCTGAGGGAGGCAACGGGACACACTGAAACCAAGGGGGCCTGCAAGGGGACACTTCCCAAAATGCACCAAATGAGCCATCCTGCCCTCTTCCCACCCTCAGCTTGGTCTTCACCCAAGCCCCCTCTGAGCCAGCCCATCCCTCACTACTGGAGAAGGTACTCCTTCCTTGCCATTACTCCAGGGGAAGTAAACAGAACACATCAGGCCAAATAAAGCTTGGATGAAGAATTCACCATTGCAAACTCAGCTGGATGCTTTGTGTCCACCAGACCCAAAAGTGACGATTGTCTTAAGCATCATCTCCAAGGCAGGAGTGCCTGGGGTTTTATTTAGTGGCTGGGATGGAGCTCTGAAAAGCTTGCCAAATATTTCCATTGTTTCAATCCTGGATGGACTCTCCTGCTTTGCACTCCTGGATTTCACTGAGGCAAACCTTGGCATTCAAAACCTAAAGAGAAACCACCCCACCACAGTGCTGCAAGCATGAATGGCAGTCTCCCACATCAGCCAGGTGTCTGCAGAATGTTTTTGAACCTCAGAAAATCTTCTGTTGACTTCAGATGGCTCTAACTCCTCTTGCAAATGGGTTTCTTGCTCCATGCCTATCTGCCTATTCCTGCCCAGATCAGGGAAGTCCTCCAATCTCCTGCTCCAAGACAAGCCAGTGCCTCCAAGCTATTGCTGCCACACTACTAAGCTGCAGGTGCTCTGGGCAGGCTCTGGATCCAGCCAAATCCCAGGTGCCCAGGAAAGAATTATTCTGCACATGAAACCAGCACCACACTGGAGCCTGAGCTGTCTCACACTGAAGTAGGGGCTCTGTGGAAATACAATCAGTATCTGGCAGAAAGGTGGAGATATTTTTTGCTAACACCTCTATTTAAACAGAAGTGCTACAGAGCATCAGGTTGCCAGGAGCTGCTTCTCCTCTCAGTCTATACACTGTAACATTAAGGCTGATAGATACCCTAAGGTTAATAACATCCCAGCTGCTGATGCCTACAGGTACATTTCTCCAGACTGGTTTTCAGTTCCTTGCTGATTCATGGGTTTCCTCCTCTCTCTGTAAGGCAATAGTCTAAGTGCTCTTGCTCAACAGATGACTAAATCAGTGTCTACATCTGTACCTAACCTTCCCCAATGTGCAGGGTTCCTTTGTTTGTCTTCCTGATCTCATTTGAGCTTACAAGAAACACGGGGATAAATGCCAAGGCTCACACCCAGGCATGACACAGACATCCCCAGTGTCTCCAGAGGCCTGTCCCCGACAGGGAGTCAGAAGAGCTGTACCCATTCAAGCTCCCCTTGCTCCTCCTGCAGGTGATGCAATGCAGGTGCCACTTCTTCATTCAGTTTGCAGGGACTCTGACAGTGGAGATTTTGCCACTGATCCCAGGCCCCTCTGAAGTAGTCTTGCTTCACTACTGAAAGCAAGAACCCTCCTAGTGATTCTCAAATTTGTGCTCTGCTCCTTGATGCCAGCCCTGTGCCTGTCACCGCCATCCCCTTTCTGCTCCACACACTGTGTGCCTGGAAATCACACATTAGGTGTTAGTGAGAGGTGTAATTTGCACTCCCCCTTGTCTCAAGCAAAGGCTGAGGAAGCTGCAGAGAGCCTGGGTCAGCAGTAACCCTGTGGCAGACACGTGGGTCTTCACAAATGTTACTGGTTCTTTCTAACAGTGGGAAGCCCACACTAAAAGGAAAGCCTGGTGTGAAAGCACTCACAGCTGCAGGTTAGCTCAGAAACAACCCTGCATTTACTGTAAGTGCCCCCAGTGCTTTTCTCTGTCATTCACTTAAGCAACAATGTTCAGCCTCACACTCTAAAAATGGAGGAAATCCTTCCTGACCTCACTAGCTGCTCTGATCATCCTTCCCACGCCTATTCCCACTTCTGGATTTCCCCCTTCTTTGCCTGGTGTTTCCAGGATCTTAGCTCATTTCAGGCAGCTCTTTCAGTACCTGATTCAGTCTGTGTTCCTGCGTGTGAGGTGAGGTGCCCTTCAGCTGGCATGCCCTGGCAGTCCCTTTGGTGTCCACGCCAGCAGGTGCAGCCCCCCACTGCTGCCTCTGCTAAGGAGACAGCACCAGCCTGGAGACAGAGCCACCCACTCCAGCAAGATGTGTGGCTCCCATCCCAGAGAGGCACTGAGAACCAAATTTTCTGGTTCAGCTGAGCCACACTGAGCCCTCAGCTAAGGTCACTGGCTACTGACAGATGTTGCTGGCAGCCTGATTTCAGGTCATTAGAAATGTTTTCTGATGACCTCAAGGTCTAAACCATTTGATGTTCCGGTAGCCAGCACTCAGGGATGTGCTAGGGCCATCCCTCCATTTCTGTGCTGATGAAAGCTACCGTATAAATGTCCTATTTCTGTCATGTTCTCGACACTGGAGAAATCCTATGGGACAGATGTATTGACTTACATTTTCTTCAGCTCAAGAAATGCCTGCCCAAGGATATTTCAAAGTTTTCCAAACAAACTTTCCTGCCTGTCTTCTCTGCTCCCCAACTCCATACAAGGCTGTTTCACAAAAAAAACCAAAGCAAGCACAAACCACTTACTTAATGTATGTATTGGCATTTCCCTCTGGAAAGACGTACGGATGTTTCTTCCGAAAGACGTGTCCAACACGGCTACAGGGGATGATTTCCAGGCTCCCTCCACACATCCACACACGGAAAGAGATTTCTGTAAGAGAAGCAGCTTCAGCACTTTGTCTTTCTGTCCTGAAGCAGTCTGAATCCTGGTGTTAGTTCTTACTTCATCTTCTGCAACATTAAACTAGGGTAAATCAATTACCAAACGGGCTTTCCTAGGCACAAGGGCCCTAAAAGCACATTTCAAAGCTTCTTTGCAAGCTGTTTGAAGTCAGTGCACTTGAAACCTGTCTCAAGCACAGCAGGTGCTATCACAATGGTGAGCATGAGACAGTAAGCAGGTCCCTTTTCATACACTGCAGAATCCTCTTGCCAGTTTTGTGCCTCCCTTATTACTTCTGCACTGCCTGTTTCAGGGTCACTTCCCTCCAAAGGGCCATCAAGTTCACCAGGTGAGGCTATGAATTCTCTCCATTAATGACTACAACTGTCATTATCTTTATGAATCCACCATTGACTCTGCAAAGTGAACAGAGCTGTGCATCCATCGCCTGTCCCAAAATGGACAGCAGCTTACCCTTCCCAGGTATTCTGGGCCTTCAGTGCCAATGCTGCAATCAAGTAAGGCACACACCTTCACACAGGCAAAGGTCAGCGGTGGGAGGGATTATCCCAAAAATCTGGATAAGTTATCAGTATGGGAAATGTCTCCCAGTCACTCCAAGCCACTCTGTGGCTGGCCCACAGGACCCTTCTCAAGGAAAATGAGCCTGTGGCACAACTGACACCAGAAGTAATAAAGCTCTTGGCAGGGAGCTGGATGAGGTAGGAAGGGTAAGCAGAATGGCTGATCTAATGGGTCCATCTGGCCCTGATGCTTATGAAGCTATGAATCTGTAGCTCTGTTGTCAGACAGTCATGCTCAGATAGAATCAGCCTGGAAAAGAGATGAAATGAAAATGAAAAGGCTTCTGCAGTTCTTTGAATCCTATTTTATCGTCTGTTGACAGTGCAGAGCTACACGTAGCATGTATCTACCTCAAAACTAATAATTCCTTTTCACACACACACCCATTTAACTACAGAATTAAGACAGCAGAACACCCATTGTCTTTGCCAGCTTGTGCTCCCATCAGTCCCCTCATATACGCCAGCACAAGGATGACTTGTCCCCAGATCGGATGCTGGCAAGACAAGCACTTGTGGCAGGAAGGCCAATTGGGCAGTGTGGACAGGACTCCTCCTCCTCCTCCTCCAAGGGCAGGCACTGCTGGCTTACAAAACCTCCATCCCTCCAAAAACAGCTCACAGCTTCAGGGAGCAAAGGCCAACTGGAGCCTGGAACTCCAAAGCCCTCTGAGCACGCACGGCTCAGCCCTGAGCTGCTGCAGAGGTGGGAGCCAGGTTCATGTTACTCCCATCCTGCTCCCAGCACTACCTGCCCGCTCCTGAGCTGAGGGAAATGGGAGGCTGACACAGCTGCAAAGCCTTCTTGCCTTGATGCCTGGGTCCAAAATCCAAGGCTTTGATCCCATCCCCAACAGCTTGCCCTGGCAGCAGGGACAAGCAATGGCAGGGGTGGGAAAGCACAGCAGGGAGCAGTATTCCTTTCCAGAAATTCCCTCCCCTTCCCTTCCCTGTTGTGTTTACATGCAAGAGCTGCCAACAGCAGCTGGAGCCTCACCGCTTTCCCCAGTGCTGGGTATTAAGAGGCCAATAAAACGTGCCCTTGTGCCATATCCTGGTGCTATATTGGGAGCAACCTTAATCACAGCTGCAGGGAAATGAGATTATGGCAGGATGTGGCCACTCTAAGCTGCTGCTCTTGGCTCCCCTTGCACGTGGCTTTTGCAGTCACTTGTCTGTGTGTCACAGCACTGGCCACTCTGCTGGCACTGCTGTGTCAGTCACAAGGACACCTGACACAAGGGGACAACCAGCTGAGCAGCTGTGGAGCACAGCGTGGCTACTGCAAGCTGCCTTCCCCTCCTCCGGTCTTTCTGGGAGAAGAGCAGCTCCCTGATGTGCTAAAAGGGAAATGCTCGCACCATTCAGTCCTTGCCTGATCTTTTTGAAGCCTAATGAAGAGGTCATCTCTGTGTACTGTGAACTAGAATGAGGACACAGTGCACAGGAGATGCTGAGGAGTCTGAGCTCTCAGCTTCAGGCTAGCTGTACCCTGCAGAGCCTGCTCCAGGTACAGCAGAAACAATAAAAGCTCAGGTTTCCACAGGGAGGGATCACTCATGGAGCCATCCATGGCAGGTGACAAACAAGGTCTCTGACAGGCAGCCAGGAGCTAAGTGTCCCAAGGGAAGGCAAACTGAAGCACCAACTAAAGCATGGTACAGGGTCAGCTCAGGGAGCCAAGGGAGCAGGAACCAACAGTGTTCCCTTGACCCTCAAGAGATGTTGCCAGTGGACGCGGCCCCTCCAAGTGACCCCCAGGAAGGGTGTGAGCAGTACACGTTGGGCTGTGCTGGACTTGGCCTTCATTCAGCAAAACACCTCTAGCACTTCTCGCTGGCCTGCAAGTCCTTCCTGCCACTACCCATTTACAGGGAATTCAGTAAATTTAAGACACAAAACACCTACAGTGTCCTCCTTCAAAGCCAAACGCACTCACTTTTGTTCTGCCTGAAGCCTCCAGCCCCCTCCAGCTGCCCCCTCAGTACCATTAAAGAGAGCAGCACTGCTCCTCCCCCTCAGGATTAAGCTATCAGCAAGACTGTGGCTCATTCTAAGTGCCCAAAACAAGCAGGTCAGCTCCTGCCATCCTTTCCCTGCCCAGAGCCAGCAGGGTGCAAAGGAGAGATGGGACAAGCTGCCCTTGACTACTGCACCTGCAGGAGATGGAGCTATGAGCCAGGCATGCTTCTGCTCCCAGGGCAATGGGCAAGATGGGATCTGCCCTGCTGCTATGCAGACCTGCACTGTGTTGTTGCCGTGTTAACCTTGATTTTGCTTTATCACAGGAGGCCTTGGTACACCCTGCAGCACTGCTAGTGCATGTTTGGTCAGGACCATCCTCCTGGGGCACAGCACCAGTAAGGGAAACCTCTCCTCTGCAGGATGTGCCACAACCAGGTGTAAGGAGCACAATGCCTTCTGTTACAGGGCATGGGACAAGCTGCCAGGATGGAGCTTCCCCCAAGAGCAGGCTGTCCTGTCACTGTTCATCTCCCAGGAGCAGCTCCTGCTGGCTGCTGTCAGAGACAAATGACAAGCACAGGCAGCAGGTCAGGCACAGCATGGCAGTTCCCCTCCTGCTCTTCTCCTGTCTAGTTCCCTTCTTGAATGCTTTATTTGGGCTATTGATCCAGCAGGAGAGGTGGGAGTGCTGCCACTCCCCTCCCAGGTTTCCTCACAGCCACCCCACTCAGATACTTCGGGTCAGCCCACAGGCAAGATACCCGCCCACACAGAGAAAGCACGAAAGAGTGAGATTCCTACTGCATAACAAGATATAAATAAATAAAATATATCTAGAGGGACAAGGCATGTGAAGGAAACACCAGTGCCAAGCAGCGGATGGATTACTGCAAAGCGGCAGCATCTGCTCCCCTGGATGACTGACAGCATCGCAGTGTGTGTTACGACACAAGAGCCTTCCTTCCTGGCTAGCCCCATTCCCCAGAGGTGCAAGCTACTAAAGCCAGGTTCTGATCTGTCTGCCCGACATCAAGTGCCTCCCCCTGCTCTCGTGGGTACAGTGTATTGTTCTGATCCCCAGCATCACTGCAGCTTCAAAGGGAGAACAGTCCAGCCTGATCCAGCTCTGCTTTACAAGGGGACAAGGGACAGGCTGTTACCTCTTTCATGTGCCCTTTCAAGTGTGCTTGCAGGAGATTTCTTTATGTCCATCTTGTCCCATGATAAGGGCCAGAGGTGACAGAATTTAGGTCAGCTCAACCCTTTTTCTTTGGTGCAGGAAAAGTGACAGTATCACAGAAAGCCAGGCACCATTCAGCCACCCAGGGATACAGGAATGGATACAGCCTGTGTACTGGAATGGAAGCAGCCCTGCTACTTTGCCACCTGTTTGCTGCATGCTGATGGACCTACAGTATCAGGTACTCTGCAAACTCAAAGAGGGACTAGTATCTCAGTTCATAGCTTGGAAATGCTGTCATTAATGGAGTAAGACATATTCTTTGCTTTTTTAAGGAGAAAATAAGATCAGGGAGGGTGCACGTAGTGTTTTCTCATCTGTTGCTAACACCAAAGCTGAAAACTGTGTGGTTGAAGGTTATTTACCTACAGAAAATCAAAGCAGCATGGAAGGCAGGCAGTCCCAAGTACCTACAATTGCTCACTTCCCATCATTCGTGGTTGCTGGATCTCTCACTCTCCTAAGACCACAACCTATGAATGTAAATGAGGGAAACCACCTAGAGCATTCAAAGTGAAGTTTGAAATGACCTTGTATCCATCTGGCCTGACTCAGAAAGGGAAGCCAACACAGCAAGGCATAGGAGGATGAAGAACAACTCACCAAAGTTCTCCCCACCCCAGATGTCCATGGCACTGTCGTACTTCCCCAGGTGGTTGAACCAGGCCTTGTCGATCACAAACAGCCCCCCAGCAATGATGGGTGTCCTGAAGAATGGACAAGGAGAAGAGGACACATTCTCAAGCACTGCTGCAGCACCTGGATGCACAGAAGCAGCCCTTCCCTTTGCCTCCTCTTCCATGACCAGGACATTACCTATGTGTCACCTTCTCACCAAGAGAAGGATGAAGCCCCTCAAAATGCATCTGAGCCTTTCTTTCAGCCGCCTTGGTGTTTTGCTGTCAATCATAAATTGCCTGGCACTTAATGACTGGCTAATGCACCCGTCAGCACAACTCCTACAAGCCCAAAGTTCACAGCCCTGATTGTAGGCTTCAGCATCAAAAATGCACTTAGCACTCGGGGATATTCACTCAGACAGGCTTTTTGCCTGGAGCCAGCCTATTAAGAGCACCATTCCACCGGGGAGAGGAAGGCAGAGCCAATTCAGAAGGGCTTTTTAAAAGCCATCACTAGCTGTGTGATCTTTATTTCAAACCAGGGTTATTTTTCTTTCTTTGGATTAGCTAAGAAAACTGCACAGAGAAGGCCTGGGAGGGGGGGAGGAGAGCAGACCCAGAAGACAGCTTGAGGAGACTTGCTGTTTGCTGGCACAAGTTCCATCCCCATTCAACTGGAGACAGTGTGGATGCCTCAGTATAGGCTTGGGAGGAGCTGGGGGGAATGCTGTGCCCAGGCTGATCTCCACAGTGCCCTACACAGCAGTGTGATCAGGAATACAAGGCCAGCCTTTGGGAAGCCAGTGAGAGCTCCTGTTAACAGCAGCATCCTAAGGAGAAGCAGTGCTTTTGTCCCCTGGGAGCCCTCTGAGGCCCTGAGCTTCTCCCAGCACTTGGTGTCTTCCATGCCTCACATCTGGCTGGGGCTGCAGACACCAGCACCAGGCTTGCTGCCAGCAGAGATGTCCAGCAGAATGAAGGATCCCCTCCATTCCATGGCATGAGGACAGATAGCACCTCCTCTGCTGTTCAGCTTGGCTCCCTCTCCAGTACATCTGCATTTCGGAGGAGTCTTCAGTGAGGTCCAGAAGAGCAGTACTGATCTGGGAAGGCTGGACTAGACACCAAGCTTATCATGTGGGCTGAGGACACTGCCTTATTTTTATAAGTGGTAGGTGAACTGAGAGAAGCAGCTGTCTACAGCACTGGCCTTCTCCCCTAACCATAATCCTTAGTACTACCAAAACCCCAGTAACCATAAACACACCCCTTCTATCTCTGTGGCATTCTCAGGCTTCAGTGTTGGAAGGTGAAGCTGTACTACAAAACCCAGGCTAGCCAGAAGCTTGCTAGAGGTACTAGAAGTTCGAAGCTGTCCTGGAAGAGATTGCACACTGCTGTGGTGCACGGGGACACACATGAGAAAAGCCTGTACTGCCTCACTCGGGTGCCTCCTTCCCCCTCCTGACTTACTTAATGGGCTCGGTGGGATCAAGTCGTTTGGCTTTCTGCTCCGGGGAAAGCTGCTCCCATTTGAAATGCAGACTCCAGTCAAAACCTAAAACCAGAGTAGAGAAATGCCATGGGGAAATTAGAAATTGATACGGATTAGGAGGCAATGCAGGCTGCGGAAGCTGTGTTTGATGGAACATTTTCCTGACTTTCAAATGACTTAAGCCACAGAGATGCAGCTCTTGAGAGAAAAGTCCAATGCCTAAGATATTTTACTACTACATATGAACAAGAAACAACACATTGCATTGCAATTTCAAAGTCAAGTGTTCCAAAGGCAGGAAAAGTCAGAATTAAAGCTGCTGCTGAAACCTAGTCCCCCTGTGCACACAGAAGCACACTCTGATGGATACTATGTGCTACAAATAGCCCAGGCATACTAATAAGCAGTGCACTTGCATCCTCCAGTTGTTGCCTAGACATCTCTCATCTCCTCCTGTCACTTCCAGTGCTACCCAGGGTGGCTTTGACATGACCCTTCTTTCCTGCTTGACTGCCTCATCCACTGCAGCAAGCACATTCCCCACGCCACACCTGCCTGTGTGTGGGGTAGCTTGGGAGCAGCCAGCGGGAGCACTGAGCAGTGTTAATGTGCTTTTCTGCGAGGCAGCAGGAGACAGGTGTGGTGCAAAGGCCAGTGCACATTCCCACCATGGAATGGATGCCCACAGGACACACACAAAGCTCAGACTTACCTCCTCTGAGGTCTGAGGAAGCTGCCACGTAGGCAAAAGTGTCCAGGTTGATGATGTCAATAACAGGACTGACCACTCGGGTGGGATCCTGCAAAGCAGAACCAAAAACACCCATGACTTCAGATGACACCATTCAAACTGGGCAAGGGACTCCAAACTCCTGGAGACACCAAGTGGCTGGAAACATTGGTGTCACCTGGTTTTGCTAGGGACAAGTGCCCTTCACTGCCTCCTCATCCTCAGACTGTGCCTGTACTTGGCACCCAGCTGGGCTGGATGCAAAGCTCCTTCTGCCTTTTGCAAATTCACCAAAATATTCCCCTTTCACTTTCCTTAAATTCTTTTAACTGGATTTCAGAAGTCCAAGTGACAAACAGGCAATTGAAATGACAGAGGAAAAACACAGCCAAATAGCTTAAATATGGGTATTTTTTTAAATGCACCAACTATGGCAGTACAGTTGGTTTTGCCAAAGGTGTGAAAGGGTTAAAAAAGAAAGACATGATTTATTCAAAATAGTTGGTGGTGATTTAATTAACATCTTGTTATGGGCAAAGAGATTATACAAACAGTTATGAACAAAAATATCTACAGGAGGAAGAGACTCTGACAGCTTTGACTGGTCTCTTATCTCCCTTTTTCTTTTCAAAAATCCCAAACTCCAATTATAGCTCAAACTTCAAGGTTTTACCCTCGCCAGATCAAATTGTTTTTCACAGCTATACAAAGGAAAGCATCTGAGCACACTCGGGCTTGCTCTCTCACTGGGGAAAGACTTTGTTTTAGAAATTAGTCCTGACAAAGAAGTATTCAAATTCAGCTGTAGGAAGAAGCAACCAAAGGCCGTGAGCTGGGAGCTGAACTAGAGCTGATTTTCCAATTGAGCATGACAAATACTTGGTATTTCCATAACAGGGTCAAGCCAGGGGTCTCACCATCACTTTCTGTGAGTCAAACATCTCACTGAAAGGGCAAGGTCTGCTGCACCTCTGTACTACGCGGGGAAACACAAGCCACATCCAAGCACGATGGGCCTTTCAAACCCACCAAATCCATTGTGGCTCCCGCACAGAGCCCCCCAAGCTGTCATAGCCCAGGACAGCCAAGCATCCTTTAACTGCCTGAGGCTAGGGGGAAGGTTTTAAGTGAAGCATCTGCTTTGTGTGCTGAGCATTGCATCCACTCATTTAAAACCTGCCCCTCAAGCATCTTACTGGTGAGCACATCTAGCTAGCTGACACTCACCCCCAATTTTCAATTCCACTGCTACTCACTGCACGGCACAACTTCTTGTAAGAAAATCCCCGTCACATCTGGGCTGAGTGCACTACTGCAAAATGCTACCCTTGAGCAGTGCTGTCTTCTCCCTGCCTCACTTTCCCTGCCAGGTCCTGGGAACATTTATATTTACTCAGCTTTCATGAAGGTCTCTCTGACCCTCAAAAGAAAAGCACGGCATGCTCAAGAGCACAGAGCTGTTGCTATGATTTATTTTGGGCTGAGCACCAGATCTTATTATAGGCAGCTTCATCCTTCTGGTTTTTTTTTGATACCCACCCATACCAGGGCATGTTAATATTAACAACACCCAAACCTCCAAGTCTCTCTCACAAACCTGAGAATTAATTTCTGCAATGCACTTCTCAAACACACCTATGTACGGATCTAAACCAACAGCAAAAAACTCTGGAAATGGTCTTTAAGATAACAAATACATTTCAGCCTTGAAGAACCTTGGCTGCAGCGTGGCTCTCAGCCTCTACATCCTGACCTTGTAATGGTAAACAAAAAGGACCACAGTTCCACCTCTGGCCCCACAGCAGGATTAGGCAAAGATTAGGCAGGCTGCCCCTCATATGTCTCCTTTTTCCCAGGAAAGCACCAGACTGGGGGATATTTGAGCTGGGAGTTGGGGGTCACCATTCTTGGTTCATCCCAGTACTGTTTGCAAATCCAGTTTTGGGGCGAGCTTGTTGAGTCATACTGTAAAAATATCTCAGGATGGATAATTACATTTTTAGAAAAGTTACTCAGTTGAAATGCACCATTAACAGCTTTAGAGATGTTTGTTCCATAAGTAAAAATAAGACCACAGGCCCACACTCTCAACCACATGTTTGCAAACATGCTGGTGCAAGACACTGACCATCACTGCTGCTCTGAGACAGACACTCTCCCAGGCACAGGGCTGAGATCCCCCAGAACCTCTCTCTTTCCTCCACACTCCCATCACCTGCTCTTCCTGATTGTTTCCAAATCCATATGCTGGTTATGTGCTGCCCACACCCACCAGTGAGCATCAGCTTTGGTGGGGAGGAAAACCATCAGCTGCTGGGAAGGCTCGAGGTGGAGCTTGAGGGGCACCTCCACACGGGTGCATGGTGGCACACATGGGCTCTGGCACTTCCTAGCATGGAAAGTGGCAGGAATAGCTGCTCTGGCTGAGAAAATAAGAGAAGTGATGCATGGGATGGCTGGGCTGTGGTGGCAAAAGTGATGTGTGTGCTTCGAGGCACTCAGCACTTGTTTGCTTGAATTTAAACCACATTAGCACTAACCAGATAGTTCCTAGGAGCAACAGAGTGAGAACATGCTCTTCCTAGGCAGCTGATCCTCATGGAGCAGTTGGACAGGGAGCCCATCTCTTGAGCACAGCCTGAAGGTGGCAGCAGTAACATTTCATACACTTCACTGATCAATACTGTAACCCTGCTGGCAAGGATGGGTACGGTGGGCCTGGGAGGAGACCATGGAGTCTGCCCTTATCCCGCAGCTTCTGTGAGCAGTTAAAAAGCAGGCAAGCGGGAACCCTCTGGCTTTGCAGGTTCCTCAACGCTCTTTGTAGTACATCTCCCCTGCTGCCTGAGGCTGCGAGGTACTGGACAAGGTCAGGGCAGTATGAGCAGCACTGCAAGCTTCCAGACTGCCTTACTTCCAGCTGGGGAAAGATTCAATCCAGAAGAGTTCACAGAGGTGATGTGCATGTTTGATCCTGCATTCAGACCACAAGGCATTAGAACTCCTTTGGTGATGCTGCACGTGGCATTCACACTCACCTACCCCATGGGTGCGGGACATGGGGCACCGTCCTGGAGCTGTGTGGGAAAGCAGATCTGCCAGCCCCCTTCCTGCCACCTTCACTGCCCTTCTCCTGACAAAACACATCAAAAGCCCTGCTTGGGAACGAGGAAATTGCTCTGGATACTCCTCACTGAAGTACAAGCAGGGCTTTGGCAAAAAGCAGGGAATGCCTGCCTTTAAAAAGCCCAGAGGAACAAGTGATGCTGACAAATTTAGAAGTGAACCCCACTCTGGCCAGGCCAGCCATGAGGCTCCAGTGGGACATCACAGCACGTGTTCTCATAACTCACCGGAGGCACAATCGATGATATGAAAAGACCATTTTCATTACATCTCCATCTATCAGCAGCTCTGTGGCCAGCCTGCCAGCCGAGGTTGGGACCTCTCCAGCGCTGGCTGTGCTACGAGTGCCAGCAGCACCGACTGGCCTCGTTCATGTGGAGGGACCTGACCTCCACAGGGTGCTGTGCCCCCTTCCCCCAGTCCCTTCACTGACACACAGAGAGGATGCACAGCCCAGCCATCACAGCTGTCACATCTGCAGGTGTGAAAGGCAGGATGCCTCAGGTGAGGGGCACTGTGAACACCAGCCAGGCAGGTTTTTCCATGACCCACCACCTCAGCCTCCCCTTGCTCCTCAGCTGCCCTTATGTCAATGCAACTCAGGAGTTGTAAAAGTGCTGAGTAATTAACACTAGCCATCAGGAGCCAGAGGTGTAGCAAGGGTGAAGGAGCGAGGCACAGGAAAGGGAAAGGATGGTGCATCTGCACTGGAGCTGAAGGCTTCGATCCCTGTGCTCTGCTGCCAGCAGGTCACGGGCACAGAGCTCCCCTGACTGGAGTGACAAGGCGCCAGCAGCCTCTGTGTGCACGTCTGGCAAGAGCCTCCACCAGAGAAAGGCAAATGTCATTGTCTGCTCCCAAATCAGCAGAATTTAAATCCTATTAAATCAATTTATTAGCGCTTAATTTGCATGAAATTAAATTCGGCCCCTATTCAAGGAGCTGTCACTCCCTTAAATCATCATCACTGAGCATCTTACATGAGCCTAATTAAAATCTCTCTGGAGCACTGCCCACGTATTCCCCTATCACTACTCAACCTGTGCTTGCCAGTTAGAGTCCCACTGCCCTGGGAGACACCTTGTCCCACCCACCCACATGCTCCCCCAGTCACACAGACACCTCACCTGCCTGCTGGGTGGAGGAAGACCAGAAAAGGCCACTTTGTACCCCAAGAAGCCTCTTTGTACCCCTTACTTGGATGCTTGTATGTAGCTGGTTATGGTTGGATGGTCATGCCCTCTGAGAGGAAGAGGAGGGGGACACTGGGGATGCATCCCCTGAAGGTGACTCTGGTCTCTCAGGAGCACTCACCTCTTTGATCCTCTGCAGCAGAGGGAGCAGCCAGTCCTTATTCACCTCGCAGTGACTGTCCAGGAATGTCAGGACACCTGCTTTTGCCACATCTGCCCCTCGGATTCGGGACCGGATCAGACCTGCTCAGGGACACACCATGTCAGCTGCTGCCCAGATGGCTGGGTAACATCCCCAGCCTCCTCCACTCGTGCTTCTCCTGGGTTTTAACCTGCCTAAATCCCACCCAGATAAAACATGGTCCAGGTTCACAGTCTCCTTTCCAGTGCTGCAAGGTATGCCAAGCATTTCCCAAGATCCCCAAAGAAATAAATGGCTCCACCAAGGTTACTGATTTATGGCATTTATGCCAATATGTAGTTTGCACAATTAGTTCTACTGTCACCTTCTGGTTCAAAATGTGACTCAAAATGCTTTCATGACCCTCTGCAGACAACAAATCTAACAGAGATGTGAGGCAGTGGGGAATGAGACAGAAGAGTTGAGGGTGGGAACACCTTGTGCCAGAATTAAGCTTTTCTCAGACTGATTTTTCCTGCTGTGTCCCAGTGAGCCCCAGATCTCTCCCCCACCCTGAGAGCACCGCTGATCTGCAGCTCAGTGGAAACACATTTTCTGCCAAGGAAAGATGGCTGGCTTTTCAAGGTGCTTGACTTATCAGTGCCACGATGATGAATTTGGAATAATTTGGAGATGGGCATGGATTGCTTGCATGCATTTGTGAGAAAGAAAAACAAAAAAAAGAGGGAGGTCATGGAAAGCAGCTGCACACATGGATTTCACACTAGACTCTTTAGCAATATCACTGCTCTTAAAGATGCCCTGCTCCTACTTATGCAGGTTAACCAGCTTTCCAGCACTTCTCCTGCTTGCAGTGGATGCTCAAGGGAACCATGGTATAAGAAAGGAGATGGCTTGCTGGCAAACAAGAGGAGACACAGGGGACTCAAGGGGAGAAAAACTTCTTTATGAAGGAAAAACAGTGGCAATACAAGGGGGCATAGGGGCAGATAAAGAGAGACTGGATTCCAGGGAGCAGCCATGCATCAGGTTGATGCAGGAGGTCACTGACTCTCATACTAAAATTCCCTAGGGGAAAGGAGTTAAGGAACAGCTTCTGAGCAGGAGAAGGAACACATGAACAAAGCCTGGAGCATCCAGCATTTGCCAAGGTCTCCTCCTGCAATGCAGACTTGTCCCTGTATCTCTCTCTGTGACCCCAAAGATCTTGTGCATAGGTATGTTCTTTTTTACCCACCCCTGCCCTTCACAAATGCTGGCAGCCCCTGGGGGATACAGTTTAAGCAATGTACTCAGCAAGGTAAGGCTGAATTCCCACACTGTGACTGATTTACAGAGCACCAATAACTGCAGGTCTATCAACTGCTGTAGATGAGCACACACATACCCTCATAGCACAGGGGAGAAAGGTGAGAAGAAGGTGCTGGTCTATGGAGATCTCCCTTAACCTCCTGTCAAAGCAGGAATGTCTTACACCCATGGGGCCTGATGCCATCCTGTCACCAGACCTGCAGAGCTGAAACCCTCTGCAGAAAGAATCCACACAGAAAAGAACCTTCTCCACTCCTCAGTCTCAAACCAACACTGACCTGGATGCACACCTTGGACTTGTAGCATCAAAAATCTTCATTTAGTTATCCTAATACTGCAAACCAGGATTTGAAACACACATTCAGACTATGGGGAATGGGAAGATGTCTCAAAAGGTTGCCAGCAGCAGCCCAGTAGGACATGCATTCATCCTCCATATAGCCCTTCTTAATCTCTCAAATATAATTAATTATTAAAAAATATAAAAATCCCACAGAAGCAGCAGGAGCAGATCTTCTCTCTTTCATTAGAGCAAACATCTTTACAAATAAGACCCGGGGCTTTGTTTTGCCTGTTCTAATTTTCTGGCTAATAAGCTACAGCTGAGCCTCACTGGATATCTTAATAGTCCCATCTTTTTCAGTGGGAGAGGGGAGATCCATTTCAAATCCCAGCTCTTTATCACATTTTCTTTCACCAGGGCCCCCCTTATTCCCAGGAGCCACTGACCTCCTTGTTGACCACTCCATGGAGGTTCCCCCTGCCTGCATCACTGTCACACCTCCCAAAACCTGTGTTTCTCACGTGGGCTGTGGGCAGGCAGCTCTTACCTTCCCGCCGTCCATTCCGCAAGCACTTCACCTTGGGGAGCTGGCCCAGCAAGCGGCAGTCATCAGCTTGGGAGACACAAAGGGAGGACACGTCACCCTCAGCCCTCACAGTGGCTCTGGCAGCAGAATAGGAGAGACTGGGAGCAGGAAAAGGACCCTGTCCTGGACTGGTTGATGGCTTGTTAGGGCAATGGCACTGCTGGGTCACAACAGCCTTACCCCTCAGCTCATGAAGCATAAATTGGGCCTGGCAGAGCAGCAGTTTTCATAAAACTAGTATAAATTCAGCAGATTTACACTGAGAGCAGCTGAATTATGCTCTAAAATCAGCATAGAAAAGTTGTGGTTCAGGTCAGAATCTAAATTTTTGCACATTAATGCAAATGACTATTTTTGGTAGCTGCAAAGCAACACACAAGCTGTTGATGCGTGTCTGCCTGGCAGGGCAGGAGCTTCCTGTGGTGGCCTGGAGCCTTCAGCAAGGAGAAAGGGATGCTCAAAGAGAGCCCTGTGGAGCAGCTGGGGGCTCCCCACGCCCTGGGCAAGAGCTCCACAGGGCAGAAAGTCCTGACAGCCACCTACACCTGAGCTAGGGAGGTCCTGCAACCCCTCAGGCAGCCCTAGGACCCCTCCTCGCCTGGCTTTCTCCCAGCAAAGTGGAGGATGTCAGGTATACCCATCACAGCTCCCTCCACCTCTACACACCCACACTATAACCTCCACAACAAATTCATGGCTCTCACCCTTCTGCCTCCTCTTCCTCAGCACTACAGACACAGAGGTGAGTGTCTCATCCCACACAACCCCCTGAGCACTTTCACCCTCTCCAGCAATCTCCATCAGCAAGAGATCTCTGTACCCACACCCCTAACAATTCATGGACAGAGCTGGAGCAGGGGAGCAGGGAGAAGTGACAGGGCTTGGCTACAGACTCTCAATGAAAATCTGCTGGGGACAGTGGGAACCCACGTGCTGAAGAACTGCATCCCAGTGAATGAAGTCAGCAGGCAGAGAGAGGTGAGAAATGAGACACAACTGGGCATGAGATAAAAGCACTAATTGCTTGGGGTGGGTTGCAGGGAAAAAACTGACCATGTGTGTGTAGTGTATTATGCAAATGAATGTATTTTATGTAAATGCATGCAGAGCAGATGCCAGCAGGCTCAGACTATCACAGCAAAGATGTCAGATAGCTGAAAAGCACTGAGTAGCAAAGGGGCTGCCCTAAGTTACACAGGGAACAGGCTCCCCTCTGGTGCCCTGGGATGAGTTAAAACCTAGACCTGTTCCTTCTCCTTGTCTCACAGCACTTGGCCCCCTGGACAGGGGAGCTGCGTTCCCACAAACCTGCCTCCTTCTAGGAAGGCAAGTGCTTTGCCTATTTAGCCAAATACCTGGCATTTACTTCCTCCACCCTCCAAAAATCCTGCTCTGCTCTTCTCCAGAGGAACAGTCCCTGCACCTTCTCTTCTCCGTCACAGCCGTTCTGCCAGTTCCCAGACTCGCCCAGCCTGCCTGCACCGTGTGCTGGAGCTGCTCCAGGGCTCACCATAATCACAGCAGCTCCTTCCCCAAGCTTCAGCAACTTCCTGGGGAGGTATCAATGCCAAGAAGTGGGTCTTGTGTGAAATCTGTCCCTAATGCTCTCTGAGGCAGTTCCTATTTATAACATCCAAGAGCAAAGCCTAGATCCATTTTTTAAAAGAAACCTATCTGGCTTTGTTTTCACGTTTCCAAGTAAACAGCTTTATTTTGCAACTCCTTGAAACATAAGTGCCACAGACCACTCAGCCAGTTTATCATCCTTTTTATGCCTGAGACATTATTCTTGAGCACTCAGATCTTTGACTCTCCCATCACACTAGGCAAGGTCTTCAGCTGGGGTGGTTCCCTGGGAGGCCCTGGGGCTTCAGCTACCTTCTGCTGGAGACCAGAGCTACTGATGTTCCTTGAGTCACGTTATTAACTGGGAGGGAACAGCAGGAGGATATGGGCTGTTTGTGTGGTGTACAATGCTATTTATGGTGCACCTCAGAGATGGGAAACCCATGCAGGGAATCCTCTTTCTGTGGGTGAAAAAGAAGGTGGAAAAAAAAAATCAAGAGTTGCTGACCACCTATATAAATATGTGCAGAAACATACATAGGGTCAAGAGGGTCAGACTCTCATTGTCCCATGGAATTCCAGTGGTGTCAACCCAGAACTGCTCCTGGCTGCAGCTGAAAGCCAGATCAAACACACCAAGGCTGTGGTGGGATACACAGCCATGTAAGGATTGTATTCACATCTGCTGGGCATATGAACGATCTGCCAAGCGCTTTTCTTGCATTATTTTCATGAGAGGAGGTTGGATCATTTGGAATTTGAATTCTACACATGGTTATGCAAACCAAGCACAGCAGGGTTTGCTCTTCACAGCTACAGAGCTTTAAATTTTCTTCCACTCCAGCAAACTCTCCCCTGTCTCAGCACTAATCCCAGTCTCTCACAGGCTTTTTGGCCCTTTGCTTTTAACAGGGAAAGGGTCACTTACGGTCATCACTGAAGTCATCCACGAGTATGATTTCATGGACGAGGTGCACCGGGGTGCGGTTCAGCACGCTAAGGAATGAAGAGAGAAAATCCATGACAGCGCTTGACCAACTTAACAACCCGGCAAATGGAGTGGAAAAGATGAGGAACTGAACCCCTGCCAAAGCACAAAAGAGCAGACTTGGATTTCCAGAAAGGATATACTAGGTAAGAACCCAGAAACCACCTCCTAGTAATCTCCAGTGTCTGGCTATCAACTCCCTGTAGCCTGATCTAGGAGCCAAGTGCTCTGTATTGCCAGGAAATAGCTGACATTCACCCTTCTCACCTCTGTGAGCAAAACCAGAGCCCCACATAAAGCCAGGAATCCAGCAAAGCTGCTGTCACCCCCTCCACCTTCTCTGGGGCTAATGATATGGTGTCCAGCAACAGCAGGACCAACACAGAGAAAATTAGCCAGCTGAAACCCATCTTTACACAGCTCACAGCTGTGGCAGGACAACTCCTGTTTTCATCTGCGAGCTGATTGTGTCTCAGAGGCTGCCGAGAGGATAAGAGCAGGGCTGGAGCCCACCCTAGGTAATGAAAGAGAGAGGCTGGAGGACGTGGCTCACAGCTCCCTCCATATGGACAGACACTACGAAACATGGCTCAAAGCTACAATCTTCCCTTAATTACGCCACCAAGGGTTGTTATTATCAAAAAAATCTAGACCTGTTCTTTCCCTTTCTCTCATGGTGCAGAGGTCATGGGTTGGTTGCACTGGCTCCAGCAATTTCATCTCCAAATAAACAGCAGTGCAAAAGTTACCCTGACATGTAAGACATGGATGCTATTGCACATGCTTAAAATCCTGCCCCAGCAAAGGGTCAAGGCTGTCTGCTTGAAGCAGAAGACCCAGAGCATCCCAAAAGCTTCCTAAGTGCTTGAGTCAGGCTTTGATAATGCCAGTCAGGTTGCACAGGCTTTTACAGCATTTAAACTTCTTTGCCTTCATCCTGAGCATGGTTCCTTTTCCACAAAGGATTTTAAATTGTCCCAAATTTCAGACCTTCAGACCTCCCACTGGCACAGGAGGGCAGTCACCCAACTACCTAACAAACTTGCAGCCCCTGATCCCCTGCCAGATCCTTATTAACAGGTTTTCCCAGTCTCTCAAGCTCCCAAAACTCTGGCAAAAAAAAGCACCTGGAAGTCTGGAAAAGCCACATCCCTGGCCCAGGCCACAGTAAGGAGAGCTACAAAGGGCAGAAGCCCCAGGGAACTTGGGAGCCACCTAACCAGCTGGCAAAAAATGCAGCCTACCCCACCCAGGGGGTTCACCTTTGCCAGGTGCCTTCTTCCTGCACTGGTGTACTCCATCCCCTCCAGGTGCTGGAATTACAACCCAGCAGAGAGAAACAGCTGAACTAGATTTTTTTGTGAGGCATACAAAAGGAAGATGCTTGACACAGAATCACAGAATGGTTTAGGTTGGAAGGGAACTTAAAGATCATCCAGTTCCAATCCCAGCGCTACAGGGAAGGGACAATTTTCACTAGAACAGTGTGCTCAATGCCTTGACCACTTAAAGTAAATGGGCATGTACTACTTCTCTGAACAACTCACAGAAAATAATTTCTTGCATACATAATTAATCCTTCCTCCATGCTGGTTTTTATTTTCCCTGGGCAGAAATCCTCAAAAAAGGGCTTTTTCTGTCAGACCAGAGTGGGTAAGCCTAGCATCTCCCTTGTGGAGCTCCTCAAAAATCACTTCCAATAATTATTTTCTCTGGAAAGACAATCCCTGCCTCTTTCAGTTTCAGGATCTTGGCAAAAGCCATTCTTTTCCCCCACTTCAGGTGCCTTGCATGCAAAGGTTTGAAGGAAGAGAAAGCCACTGTCCCCTGAGCAACAGTGTGGAGCTGCTGTGGCCACCCTGACGCTTTGGCTTGTTCCAAGCAGAGTTAAACAACACCTCTCCAACACCCACAGCCTGAATGAAGTACTGGGGAAAAGTGGCTCCGCGCCCCTCCTCCCACTGGGGGACACAGAACAATTTAGATGTGCTGTTTCCACCTGTCAAGTGTTTTTTAATTATTGTTATTAATAGGCTTGTTATTTTTTAGAAATCCCCGTACGGCAGAGCTGAGTTCAGCAAATTACCGTAGCCGAGCATCAGTAGACAGAGACAGGAGAGCAATATCACGCTCAGTGGAATATTTAACAAGTGCTGATTGCCTGGAAACCTAACTCTGTGCAACCTGCAGGAAAGAAGCAGGCTTGTAAAAAAGCCAGCAAAATAAATAAATAACCCACCAAGAGCAGGAGGTAGGGGGAAAATTGGAACATTCAAGGCCTGCCTTTGCCTGGTCTCCCCAGTAGATTTGGCCGCCAGAAATGCAATGCAGGGCTTAATTCTGTGGGAAGGTGGCTGCAAGGAGTCTGATTCTGCTTTTGCTGGTACCAACCAGAGTAACTCAACCAAAACCATGGCATTGGGCAGTGTAGGCTCAGGCTGGGGCTCTAAGCAGTACTCAGTGCTTAGAGCACATCTTGTGGAAGAAAATGGACCATTTCCAAGGCCCTGAGCTGGGGAGAGGTGCAGCCCAGTCTCAGGTCTGCTGCAGGCTCCCACTGTTACCAGGTTAAGCAGTTTGCTGCCAACTCTGTGCCTGGGCTTGCCTCCCCACAAATCAGGGAAGATGACCCCTGAATGCCACCAGCAGCCATCTGTGGGACTGACCAGAGCAAGAGGGAAAAGGCCAGCATGCAGATCCATGAGGGAAGGACATCTCCAAGGGCTCCTCTGGCTCCATAAACCATCACCCTTCCATGGGGTTAATGACAGACACCACTGTGGGTGGCACAGCACCCCCTCATCTGTACCATCACAGCCCTCTCCCACCAAATCCTTTGTGGTATTCACTCACCACACAACACTTTTCCTGAATTCAAATTAACAACTCGCCCTGGTGAGGGCAGTCCAAAGGCTGGCTCTATGGGACCTGGTGTCCTCTGCTTTCAGCCCACGTTCAGCTCATTATTGCCCCTGCAAGTCGGTGCACAGAGTCCAGCAAGCCCCAGAACAGCTGCTAAGCCAAGGGCCACTTGATGCAGGCACAGAGAGATGCCCAGCAAAGCCAAATTCGTGTCTCCAATGCATTTTCTGCCTGGTGCTCTATTAACCACATAATAACACACACATGATGCTGTGAACACAGAATGTAAGCACCCCTCCTGCAGCGCTCCTCAGGGAGGATGGGAAAAAGAAGCATCAAATCCTCCACATTTTCAACATTATGGTTTTTGGGTTTGGTTTTTTTTTTTTTTCAGATAGACCATAAAAGCACTTTTAAAAATTCAAAGCCGGCTTTTCTATTACTTGTGCCTCTGCTCAGCTTTGATTTTTTTTTTTTTTAATACTTTCCTTTCTTTATGTCTGTGCATGGCTTTTTTTTTTCCTTTTATATGGGTAAAATCAGAAGACAATATTATAGTGCTTTGAAGTCCCTCTGTTATTATAGATTTTTTTTCCCTGAAATCAAACATAGGTAGACACATACTGCAGTGATGGGCATATCTGAACAAAGCAAAACAGTTTTGAAGTTCTGCTGCGCCAAAGATCACAACGCTTTCTCCCTTAAATTGCCAAAAGACCTGCTACCATCAAAATGAAAGCTCGTGCCTCCAGTCTAGAAAGCGCTTACTCAACCTAATAAGAACAGGTTTGCTGCTGAATTATCTTGAAAAGAAAATGCTGAAATTTTCTTTGTTCTGATTTATTTACCTTATGCAGACATAGCCATGGAGAATTTCAACTTAAATTTTCACTGTAAGGTCCCTCTTCCATCCTCCTCAAGAATTTCTTTGGATCCTTTTCCACTGGATCCAGCAACTTCATCTCCAAATAAATACCAGTGCAAAAGTCACCCAGATGATGTAAGACAATGAAAATGTTTGCAGGAAGGAATTTAGATCTTCTGACCAAGTCAGTGTGGTTTTGGTCATCACCCACTTGCTTTGGAGAAGTGACTGTGGACACCCATCCTTGAGAACTCATCAGCCTGTTAATTCTCTCCATGGCAACATATTAGGACTTGCTGGGAGGGAAAAAAACACCTTTGGGAGGATAATGAAGTATGAAAAGGGCCAAGGGTCACAATTATCGAAATCAGACAGAATATGGAGAGAAAAAACCCGCCAAAATGAACACCCCAAATGGCTAATTATGTAGGAAGAAAGACATCACACCAAGAATAACCATAATGAGCTTTGATTACACTGCGGCTTTCACATTTTATTCTTTCAAATACCCACCAAGCTCTTTGAAATTCAAGAGTTCTCTTATGTTAACATCAAAAGGTAAGAGCGCATGGAGGGCTGTGTACTCAGTCACCGCGAGAGATGATTAGCAAATTAAGAGGAAAAAAAAGTCCAGGGTTTAAGCAAAAAGCAAAAGAAAAAAAGAAATGAAAAAAATAGTCAGCACAAAGTGCTAATTATACAGTTTCTATGCAACACCTGGCTTGTTTTTGCTTCTTTAATCAGGCTCATTTCAGTTATGGCACAGGCTCTCTATGGTGCCTAAGCAAGGAGGCTTTGTCACCTCCCTGTCTTAGATGTGTCTGGATGCAGACAAGGCGGTGGCACAAGGGAAGGTGAGAGGTGCTGGTTGCTCAGCACATCACTTCTCTCACCTATGAGCACTGGAAAATGAAAGGTATGCTACTCACTCTGCAATTAATGATCTAAATATTTGATGTGGTATTCACAGCACTTGCATCAGGACTCCTGCCAAAGGATGTGTTTTGGTCTGTCAGCAAGAAGTAAATAATTTAAGTTTTCTTATTCCTGCCCTTAGCTCCCCAGCTGCAAGCTTGAAGAATAAATAAATAAAAACCACTCAGCAGAGTAAACGGGACTGTCTCACCGTCTGCCCAGCAGGTCATCCACATGACAGGATTAGGATTCCCTTGCTAAATCCAGGCTAGTACAGGATGGAGAGATAGAAAAGAAGAAATTGTTGTTTTGGTGGGATTTTATCTTTTTTTAAAATGCCTCTATACTGCTTATTTTCTCCCTTGCTCCTACCTTCCCACCTTGGGTTTACTCACATGGTCCCACCTCATGCACTGTTGGAGACTCTCACCATCTTTTAGGCTCTGAGCCCTGGAGCTTGAAATACGTGAAACTGAACCACAGAGGGATAAGGAACTTGTTGAGAAGTCAGTGGTTGAAACAACACAATGATACTTTCTTCAGTAAAAAAACCTTAAAAAATCTCCAGAGCTACTCTGCTATTGACTATCTCCTCCTTTCTGGCTTCTACTCCTATTTCCTGTTTCCCCTTCTCAAGACACCCATCCCCTACTCCCAGAACAGTTGTACATATTCACAAGCACAGTTGCACATGCATGTATAAATGCTGACCTCACCACTTCCAGAGATGTGGGCCTTCAATAAATTTACTTTTTTTTCCCTCTGCTTTACTTCCAGCTGGCAAATGGTCAGAGAAAAGATCATGAAACTTTTAAATGAATTCATTATTCAACACAATCCACCAGCTTCTCTCAATAACTCTGACAACGCAAAATGTCCATAAACGAACCGTCCCAAGCACTCCCAACGTGACCTGGATAAGTAAGGGGTGCCACGGAGACCACGTGTTGCTGCTCCCTACCAAGAGCCTGAAACACAGCTCAGCCTCAGCACTTGGGGAGCATTGAGGTGCTCTCAAGCATCCAGGAAAACCACAGGAATAGCACATCAGGTATATGTGGTCACTTCTGCAAGTGCCTTCAGCAGCACTTCCACTCTGCCCCTCCTCCGTGTTTACATGGGCTCCTGTAGGAAGTGCCCCTTTTTTAGGTACAGTGCCCCTTCACCCATGGCTTTGGACAAGCCAAGAAATGTCCCTTTGTCCTATTTCTTGCTCCTGACAGGGCGATTCACAGAACATTGATTCTGCAATGGGGCTGGAAAATCCAACATACTGGAACCTGGGAAACCAGGTTTGCAATTCAGAATCTTCCACCAGCTACAAACAAATCACCTCTCTACTCCCCAGTCTATCCATCTGTCACCTGGGTTATACCACTGTGGGTATGTACTGGGGAGAACAGGGTAGAAGAGGTGCCAAATTTACCCACCACGATGCTCAAAGCAGTTGGCCACAGACTGCCCCAAAAGGCACAAAGTGCTGTCAGGAGGACAGAGTTTGTTTTGAATGGCCAAGGAAAATGATCCATGTTGTTACAGCCACTGTGGGATGGAGTCATCTGGAAGATCTAATTAAACTGAGTATTTGGCAAGCAAGAGGGAAAAATCCCCAAGCAGTCAGAAGGCACAGCAAATTAACCTACAGAGGCTAAAGAGGCAGATGAGCCCTCAGCTGGGTCCAAAAAGAGGCAGGGAGGAAGGTGGCAATATGTGCACAACCACATATTGAGAGGAACAGAGCAGGAGCCACATCACCAGCCTGCCAACAAGGACTACTATCCCTAGGCTTGATTGCATCAAAGCAAGCCTCTAGGCACTGCATCCAGAAGGAAAACAGTGAACCTGATGCCACCTCCAAACCATGGGGACCAGAAAAAAGAGGGTCAGCTCGGGACCCAGGGACAGGCAGAGGAGATGGGGACCCCAAGGCTGTCATCTCAGTCCCTCACTGCCTGGGCTTGCCTCTGGGCTGCAGCTCAGTGGGATACTCTGTGGGGCTCTGGAACTCTTGGGGGATGAACCTACAAGAGGGCTCAGAAGGGTCCCCCCCAGAGCTGGGGAAAACTTCCCCACAGATAAAATGTGAGCACTGGAATTGCCAGGGCCCAAAAGCAAGGAGGAGCAGTGCAAAGGGGCAAAACTGCGGTGAAAATAACACACAGCCAGGTAAGGAAGGCAGTGAAGCCAATTAATCAAGTCAAGCAAGGAAAAAAAAAAAAAGAGGAACAAGTAAGAAAGTCTTTTTATGCTGGAAATGGGGAACTTCAAAGGACAATCACCTAGAGGAAGAAGTAAAAATTAAATGGACCTGTATCTCTAACCTTGCCATCACTGCAATGAATGATTCTCTAATGAAGCCAGACATGAGGGATCCAGGCCCAAGACCCATGTACCATGGGTCTAACATTTTTCATGTAACAACATCACTCATGATCACACCTGGCAGGATGGTAGGTGCTGAGTTATGGGGAGAAATGAGATTAAAATCCATCCCTGCACTTCACATGTTACAAGCCCCCTATATCTCAGGGGCTAGAGGACTGTACTTGCCACCTCTGTTACAAATACAACTGGTTCTGGAGAATGGCAAACTTATGCAAGGCACTATAAAGACAAAAGAGAAGGTCCAGGATCAAGGAAGCGGTACACAGCACCAAGCATCAGTGTCACCCAAAATCGACACACCCCAGGGAGAGAAGGCAGTGACAGATTACTGAGTGTGAAGCAAGGAGACAGGATTGGGCATGAAACCATAAAGCAGAGCAGGAATTCAATTTTGGGACTGTCAAACTCACTTGTGGCCCTGGATACGTTCACCTAAGGGAGGATGCTGAGACGAAAACTCAGCAAAGACGTGACAGTCAAGAGGGCACATCTGATGCCTCCCCCTAACCAGCAATCCTAGTCTGACCAGCACCAGCAGTGGCAAGGAGTCCCTGGGGATGCCAGGGTTTAAAAGACAAGACTTGCAGCAGGGCACAGACCTTCACCAAGCGCACACGAGATGCAACTGCAAAGCACCACAGGCACAGAGCACAGCACACCCAGGCTTGCTAAAGAGGAACCCACCAGCCTAGACCTGGACACACCTCACCAGGTCTTCCCACAAGAGAACCTGCAGATTCAAGGCACACACTGGGATTAAGCACAGATTTCAAAAGCCTGCAGTGAAAATGAAGCCTTCAGTCTATCCACGACAGCAAAACACAGCCAAGAATAAACTGACAAATGAAGGAATGGCCACATGCCCAGAGTGCTCCACCGTGTCGCTGCAGGAGTACAGAAACCATCCTGGAAAAACTGGTCTGCATGTGTGTCATTAGGGCTCCTCAATTAGCAAGCCTTTCTGGCACTCAATGGGGCACTGGAGAAGCTCATACAGCAGCACTGGAGCAGATATCCATAGAATGATAGCTGTCCCTAGAGGGCTGGGACAAAATACAGCTGAGCACTCATACCCAGCTGGATACAAAAGCTCTTAGCCCAGACTCTGTCTAATCTGCTGATGATCCCTCAAGACTTTCCCATGCTACAGACCCTCCAAAGTAGAGGTGAGAGCATGGCTCCTAACTTTCCCCGTAAAACCTACTTCTCAGAAAGCAACTTTCAGGCTAATTTCTCTCCGTCACCATTTGAGAGGCAGGTCTGGTCCTGCTGCTGCGGTGAGTGCAAATAGATTCTGCCTTTATTTGTGATGACCACTGGTCCACTGACCCTCTTTGAAGAGATCCCTAGGAGCTCTTACCTCCGAATTGTCCTTAGCAGGGTGGACCTGGCCTCGTTGTGGAAGGTGATGACCACGCTGGTGGGCGGGAGGTCCTGGCTGTAGTGCAAAGTCGTACACCTGGGGAGGGAGAAAGCAGAAAAGGCCGTTCAGGTGCTGGAATTCAAAGTGAGGGCTCACTTCATCCACACAGGCAGCACAGTCCATCAGTAAATGGTCTCCAGCCAGTATTACAAATAAATAAATAATACTTTTTCTGTGTGAATAATTTCTGAAGGAGTCCAGAAACTGCCAAGTAAATCACCAAGGATTAAAGCAGCAAAGAACTTGACGGGACGGGATGAGAAGGGAGGCACCCAGCTGGTGCCTTTTTCTCTAACCAGTGCTTCCCAGTTACCCACCAGTTCTTCTCTCGTCCCCCTGGCTCATGGCACCAGCAGAGGTAAGAGCATCCCTACAGCTCCAGCTCCAATCCACCTCACTCCCAGCCTCCTGAGGAAGCAACTCCCACCAGCCACTTGCAAGGTAAGCCGAACTCTGTTTCTAAATTGATTGTTTCCTTATTAATTCTGCCTTAATTGCATAACCAGACTATAGGGAAGACTGGGATTTGAAACTTTCCAAGCCAGCCTTCAGAAGGTGAAAACCCACAGCTGCAACCACAGCCGCTGCTGCCTCCTTCCCAGGAGGAAATGTCACAGACTCTGTAATTACTTTGACCTTTAGCTGATTAAATTTGTGGCTTTTATAGACCGACACCAATATATTCCCAGCTCGGAAAATCCAGATACCTCTTCCATCCATGCTGCCCTTTCTAGGTCCCTATCAGTCCCTTAAGATGTTCTTCAGATGACACAACAGCAGCTCTCCATCACAGCCACCCTGTTCCTTCCCATCCACATGCCACTTGTCTGTTCTTGCGTCACTGCCCAGGTGCTACCACAAGCATCCTCAAACACAGCAGGAAAGAGCACTGAGCTCTTCCAACAGGCCATTAGTTTGCTCCCCCAAAGCTCTGGACCACAGCACCTGCAAGGTGAAGTAAAAACAGATGGAGAAATTAAGTTGGGGATGGTGAGGAGAAAGCACATTAGAGCAGCCAGATATTTCTGGTTTATGATATTCAGAACAGCATGTTGTACCTCTCAAATGCCAAAATCCTCCAGATATTATTTTTAACAAGGTTTTCCATATTTAAATTTTGAAATTGCATTTCCAATTATTTACAAAGTGAACAAGAGTGCACAACAGGAGAAATAATTCCAAAGATAAGGAAAAGATGGTATCTTGGGTGGGACAAAATATTTGCAAGCTCACACTAAGTTAGTTGCTGCTTTCTCTCACTGTTTCGCTCAAAACCCTTTCCAGATCCTGCTTGAACTTGACCAAAAGCAGGCTTCTCATTACTCCCCTGTTCCTTCAGCACAGTCATCCACACCACAAATTCACCTTCGAGCCAATTCTAATTCTGGGTCCATCCCCAAAGGACACCGAAGTCGCACAGCTATTCCATATGCAGGAGAAAGTTCAGCAACATTGCCCTGTGCGACAACTACCTCATCCATCAAAATTGCATCTCAGGGATGCTGGAAACAGAGGGTTTCTGAATTATGAAACAGCACCGGGTCACGCCCTGAGCTGCTTCTCTGGGTCACTGCAGCCCCTTGCATCATCCAGTGTCCCGCTTCAGCAGAGCCATCCCAAACTGCTGCTGCTCAGTTCTGCCACGCTCAGGCTCGGCTCCCGTTCGCTCTGCGGAGCTGCAGGGACAGAATATGGCAACTGCTCACCCTGTGCTATTTATACTCTGCTCCCAGATGCGTGTCCTTCCACCCACTTCCAGCAGGGCTCTGTGGAGCAAACAAGGGAAGCTATTTCTGGAAAAGAATGAGTGAGAGTGGAAAATACAAAGTCATCAATACTTTACTTACGCTATTACAACAGCCAAGGAGCTGGTAAATAAAGCAGGAGCTGGGTGTGTCTGTGCCTCCCACGGGTGGGAGTGCTGGGGCTGCTGCAGGCTGCCTGTGCCTCCTCCTGAGCAACAACTTGCTTTTAAAACTCCAGATGTCGACGCAGCAGACTGGCCCAACCAGGCAATGTGCATGTGGGAAAAGCTGGAATGTCACACATGGGCACCTCCAGAGCTGCAGCTCACCCCGGGGCTTCTGTCTAGTGAGGCTTGTCACACCCCAAGGACAGGAATGATGCTGCTATGGACCTCAGGCCTCACTTTGCCTCTGTGACCAGCACTATACTACAGCTGGGACTTGCCTCTCCAAAAACTGCCTGCAAAGGGTGAGGCAGAGCTGCTGTATCTTCCAGGGCTCCTCCTCCTGGGTGCTTTATGGCCCTGACTCTGTCCTTGCCCAGGATTTTACCCCTGGGTACTTCTTCCAGGAGCCCTCCCAAAGTTTCCTCCACTTGGTGCCTTTTTTTTCCCCTTCCGCCCCCAGTGTAACTGCAGCTAAACATCCTGGGTCCCCAGAAGGCAGATTTCAGTTTAAGTTGTTGACTACAAGTGTCTTTTTTTGGCACTTATTTGTGTAATAAAAACCACAGCTTGGAAAAGCATTAAATCCAGCATGTCCAGAATTATTTTGTGTGACAATTACATCTGGGGTAATTTCAATTTAATACCTCACTGCAAGTGAAAATTGCAGCATGCAGCCCCTAAAATTGCTGTAATAATGAAAATAAACCCACTAAAAGCTGCCTATGCTACCTCAGGCTGTCACTGGATAAATGTTTTGTGCTGCTGATGGTATTTCACAGGTCACCCAATTGCCAACAAAAAAAACAAAACCAAAAACAACACCCACATTTTCAGGAAACCAATGAAAGTTTGACTTTTTTAGACTGTTAAAAAAAAAAGTAAAGTAAAAAAAAGTAACAACTGCACTTCCCATATTAGCAGTGTGTTGAAACTCACTGGATAAAGCCCTTTAAAGTTTGATGCTTTGAACCTTGCAGCAGGACTAGGGAGCAATGCTAGCACAGCAAGTGCAAGCAGGAATGCTGCCAGGTTGCTCTGCAGGTTCCCAGCATCTGGGTGGGGTGGAAAAAGAAAAAAGCTAGGCTGGAAAAAGCTAGGCTGGCCTGCCCTAAAAACCCCAGGGAGAGCATCCAGATGGAGAACAATTCTTATTCCCTCATGCAAAAAGTCAAACTTCATTTGATGGAAAGAGTCACTTTCTGATTACAGTTTTTTTTTTTTTCCATTCAAAATGGAAATAATTTCAGAATCAGAAAGTTCTGAAAGGGGTAGTTTGGCCACAAACACCTTAGGAATCAGCCTTGGAAAATCCCAGCCTGGACTGGTTGCCTGTTATACTTCCTTCAGGTTGGACAGAGCAGCACATCTCATCTCCATGTTCCCAATGTGCTGATAACAGCTCAGGAATAAATTATGCAGTGTCTGTATGTGGGGACATGGAGCAGCCAACCTGGGCCCTGCACTCACTTCAGGAATTGCAGTCCCAAACTTTGGACACTCCAGCATTGCCACGAAAGTCCCTTTCTCAAGATATTTTTATTGAGTTTCTTTGCCCCTTCTGCTGCTGGTGAGCAGAGTGGTATCACAGACTGCTGGCCTCTGCACACAGCTGCCCCTGCATCCTTACTGATCCTCCTGGCAGGGCAGCACATGCCCATTCCCAGGGAATCTGAACCCATTTGGCATTTAAAAAATGGCAAACTTCATTCACAGTGCCCCTCACCAAACCAAAGACCACCTTGCCACCATGACTGCACAGCACAATGGTAAAGATTAACAGTGTGAACAGAGCTGGAGCCTGTTCCAGAGCCTCTTCTGGTGCCCCAAGGCTCATCCAATGGCACAGCACATGCCCACAGCACTGTGCTGTATCTCTCAAAACCCACCTCTTACATTCACCCTCTCCTGTGCCTCATGAACTTCTTTCAATAAATGACTACCCTCATCCCACTCTCCTAGATTCCCCCTGCCAGGCTTCTGCTCCTTCCTCTGCTCTATTCCAATAGCCATCACTTGCCAACAACTCTGTTTTGAATTTTTGATGTTTTCCATGAAGTCCAAACTCTCCCTCAACACAGCTCACCACTTCCAAAGCACTCTCTGCATATTTATTTCAAATAGCCAGCTGCATCAGGGAGAGCTACACCATCTTTCACTTCCCTCCTGGCTCCACTCTTCTCCTTGGAAACACGTGGGAGAGCAGTCTCGTCACCACACATCCAAAATAAGGGTATCTGGGTTTGCCCTCTGCAGCCACAGTGGGCTCTCACATCAGCCCAAAGGACAGGGACCTGCCAACACCAATAGGATGGAGTCACACCACCCCTGATGGACAAACCACGCTGATTTCAGACATTCCCCAAGGTGTGAAAATTACTCCCATGGAGAAAAATGAGAATTACTGCCCTAGTGAAAGAGGAAACCACTACCCACCACAAGCAAAGAAAGAGTTGTCAGTAGGAAAGAAAAGATTAGATCCCCAGCTATCCTGGCCAATAGCAAACATACCCAGGCTCTGCACACCAGTAGAAATGGATGGCAGGACATGCAGGCACCTGTCATACCTCTCAGGACAACCTCTAAGGGCAGCATACACAACAATAGAAAATTACTGTGCCTAAAACCTGTCTTTGAGCTGAAGCAAAATTCATAAATCATAGAAACATAGAATAGTTTGGGTTGAAAGGGACTTTAGAGATCATCTAGTTCCAGCTCTCTGACTTGGGAAGGGACACCTTGTACTAGACCATGTTCCTCTAAATCCCATCCAACACCTGAACACCTCCAGGGATGTGGCATTCCACAGCTTCTCTGGGCAACCTATTCCAGTGCCTCCCTGCCCTCACAGTAAAGAATTTCTTCCTAATAACTAACCTAGGAGATTTCCACAAAAATACTCTAAAAATAGGAACCCTGGACCTGGTTTGATATAGAGCTATAAAACAATGTATGTGCCAACTCATATGGAATCTAGCAAGTTCACAGAGCTTACTGCTGGACAGGACTGTGCACCACCTCACCTGACCTCTGGGCAACACAGCCTCTGGCATTTCTCCCAGTTATTTCTGCATTTCTCAGTTATCCATGCATTAAGTCCAGTGACTTCTACCTGACTGCAGAGTAG